CCCAGACGCTCTCACCTCATTAGACTCCGCTGAGCCAGGAGTATTTACCCAACATCAGAAGGAGCTCTGCACAGCTCACTGAGGATGAGAGAGAGATAGAGAGTACTACCCTGCAGAGCACAGCACTACTGAGACGCTTAGATTTCCTTAGATCTGACTGACAAGCCTTTCTAAACATATCTAACTCACCAAACAAGGTTTTAGTCTTCAGAATGTGTGGCAATCACTTCTCTGGTTCCATTATAAACTAGGTTTCCATCCAATTGGCGACAGATTTTCATGCGAACATTCTAGAATCCGCATTAAGAAAATATGCACATTTCCACCAAATGGACTTCTTGCGGATAAAAATCAGTGTGTGATGACATAGTGCACACAAAATGTACTTTTTTGCTTACGTTTTCATGTACTTAATAAAAATCTATGTTCAATGTGTTTCCATCGCATTTTCAACTCTACCGATAGTTTTGTCACAAAAACTGTTGCGTTAAATAGCAAATGTGCCTACTCTGGTCTTGGCATGTGCGCTCTAACAGCTCGCAGATATAGTGTGGGTAGGCTGTGCAGGTTGGCTAGTCTACATGATGATATTATTATGGATAAGAGCAGAATATTTTTATTTGTCCAATGGCAGTCAAGCATCAATGATCATGTCACCAGAAAAAGACCCTAGATATTTATTGGAAAGGAGCATCAAGATCACTGTGCCCTTTCACCACCTTGTGAAGTTCATCATAACTTATTCCATCTCTAGCCGAATAAACTGCATGCTTTCCAGAGTCGTAGTGTGAGGACCACACACCATATCATCGCGTGACTCCAAGTTTACTTCAATATGGTGGTTATTATATCAATATTTACACATAAAGACATTTCCAGTTTCCAACCACATTTCTCGCAAAATTAATGAGTTGCAGACACACAAATGTCATATCCCAAAGACATGCTAACCTCTCACCATTACAATAACTGGAGAGGTTGGGGGGGGGGGGGGGGTATGATATTTGTGTGTCTGTAACATTCTCACTCATCATTATTCACGATTCATTCAGTATTATTCGTAATCATGGTAGCATCCACATGAATGTAGAAGTGTTTAGAAACATATTCTATTCTTATTTACAATAACAATGACTCCAAAATGACACAATACATTATTTACCATTCATTTCTATTGGGCACAAAATAATCTGGAACACAAACAGCAAATGCATCTAACAAATGTGTACACAAGCTTGATGTAGTAATTGCGTGCTATGAATATGGGACCAAATATTTCACTTTTTACTACTTTAACCTTTTACTGCAGTGGGCTAAATCAGGGTCAAACAGAGAGATTATTGGTAGTCTTTAACAAATCTATTTTGAAACAAAAGTATACACCTCCCACACGTGGTTATGGGAAGACACCTGTACCATGTCAGATATATACTGAACAAAAATATAAACGCAACATGTAAAGTGTTGGTCCCATGTTTCATGAGCTGAAATAAAAGATCCCATGAAAGCTTATTTCTCTCAAATGTTGTGCCCAAATTTGTTTACATTCCTGTTAGTGAGCATTTCTCCTTTGCCAAGATAATCCATCCACCTGACAGGTGTGGCATATCAAGAAGCTGATTAAACATTATGATCATTACACAGGTGCACTCATGCGTGCATACAAAAAATTTATGCACGCATGACTGTAAGTCGCTTTGGATAAAAGCGTCTGCTAAATGGCATATTATTATTATTATTATTATTATTATTGTGCTGGGGACAATAAAAGGCCACTATAAAATGTGCAGTTTTGTCACACAACACAATGCCATAGATGTCTCAAGTTTTGAGGGAGCATGCAGTTGACTGCAGGAAAGTCCACCAGAGCTGTTGCCAATAATTTAATGTTCATTTCTCTACCAAAAGGTTGTTTTAGAGAATTTGGCAGTACATCCAACAGGCCTCACAACCGCAGAACATGTGTAACCACGCCAGCCTAGGACCTCCACACCGTCTTCACCTGTGGGATCATCTGAGACCAGCCACCCGGACAGCTATTGAAATTGAGGAGTGTTTCTGTCTGTAATAAAGCCCTTTTATGGCGAAAAACTCATTCTGATTGGCTGGGCCTGGCTCCCCAGTGGGTGGGCCTATACCCTCCCAGGCCCACCCATGGCCCCTGCCCAGTCATGTGAAATCCATAGATTAGGGCTTAATGAATTCATTTCAATTGACTGATTTCCATATATGAATTATAACTCAGTAAAATCGTTGAAATCGTTGCATGTTGCGTTTATATTTTTGTTCAGTATAGATTTGAAATGTATTCAATTTTGAGTTTGCATCCCAATATTACACTTTATATACATTACAGAAGTCTCAAATATAACAAAAACGTTTGACATAGAAACACCGGAATTTTGTGGTAAAATAAATAAATATCTTTATTAATTATGAAATTATGACAAATACTAATAACATTCCACCCATGAGACTAAAGAGGGCACTTTTGGCCATTGACTACAGGAAAGGGCTACTACATATATAAGTGAATTTGTGCCAATACTTTTGGTCCCCTAAAAATGGGGGGACTATGTACAAAAAGTGTTGTAATTTCTAAACAGTTCACTCGATATGGATGAAAATACCCTCAAAGTAAAGCTGACAGTCTGCACTTTAACGTCATAGTCATTGTATAATTTCAAATCCGAAGTGCTGGAGTACAGAACCAAAACAACAACAAATGTGTTACTGGCCCAATACTTTTGGAGCTCACTGGAGATGCCGTCTTTGCGATTAATTTGAAACATTAAAACAAAGAGATCCATGTGATTATTCTGCCACATGGCTTTGTTTCTTAGTCATCGAAGCAGGACAGGGGCATTCTCAGACTTTTGTCCAACACTTTAAACTAGTCCACTCTTGCCTACAGTCACCCATGGGAAGACTGTCAGTAAGAGTATACAGTATGTGATGTTAATGTGATAGTTACATGTGTTTGATCTCAGGTGCTTTGACTTCCCTCAGTGGCTCTGTCAAACTATCTCCCAGCTCCCCAACATGTCAGACTGTCTCTTCAGAGGTACTTTCACATCTCACAACTGATTTCTTGACATTTTAAAGGGGAAATCTGCATTTCAAACAGTAACAAAGCGTTGCCCCCGCCACTGTTTCGGTAAACAGCTGAGTAATAAGGCTAGAGAAATGTAACCACTCTCAAATTTATAGACAGAGCTATGGATGCAAGGACTGACCATCCATGATATCAAAATTATAGTTTTAATCATGTTTTGAGGCTATACATTGTTTGTTTACGATTACATTGTTTACAAACAAAGGAGTAAAACAAGCTTATATTTTGGGTTCTGATGGGGTTAGACATTTTAACTAACCTCATGAGGCATTTATAAGTCATATTCTTCCAGAATCAATGGCTATATATCATGCATTTTAGCAATCGCAGATTGCCGCTTTAAAGATTGCAGAGCTGCAGAGGGTCCTAGGAGAGAGTTCCTCTCCTCCCTAACTTTGGGTTTTCAGCCCCCTTCACCCCTTCTCTTGACGGAGCGCTGGGAGACTTTGGTGACATCGTGGCACCATCGTCTGTGGGCCTAAGTTATCATCCTCTGTCTGTCTGTATGATATATGGGGCGCAGGATGCTCCCGGCCATTCAGGTGCATCACACACTGGTTAGTGGGCGGCGTCATATTTTCTCCTCTTGTTTCTAAAAATACTGTATGTTTATCAGGAAAGGCGGCCATTAATCTGCTCTGTTGTGCAGATGTCCCTGATGCGCTTTGCTGAATTTACAATCCTGCGTTCCCCACAAGACACTGAGGCTTCGCAGGCTTATCACAGAGCCGTTTTAAAATCTATGCATCTTAGAGGAGAAAGACCCTATAGCAGTGAACCTTGAGGCAGTGCCCCCTGAGGGAATGATGTTAGACAGCCACTCTCCAGCTCTGTGACATCTATACAGTAGGTAGCGTTCACTCTCGGTGTTATGCTCTGTCACGGTGTTGCACTTACAGTAAGATCTAACCAAACACCACTATTCTGCAATGACTATAACAGACCATGGACCAACAAAACCATTTTACCTGAGCCTCTGAGGAGAGGACAAAGACGTGAGTTTTCTCTGAAGGAAGCAAACCCCCCTCCATCTTACACTTAGGGTTGGCTGTGAGGTTCACATTTACCCTCTCCGGCCCTGAAGTCATTTACATGATGTCCTCCTACTGCAGATTCACTCTAGGCTAGGCAAGCAAGGAAAGTCTTGAGTGAAATACTTTTCACACTAATTATTTTACAGTGCCATAGACTCATTATCCAGCCATTCAAAAGGAGAAAGTACAGACCACAGTGGGACTTCCGTCATGTAAAATCAATGGGGAGTAGTGGAATGGGCTAGGTGATGATGTGGCAGGCCTGCTGTGGCAGTTTGCTGCTTGATTACTAGATGGATGGTTCCCTTGATAGATGGATGGATGGATGGATGTGCTCAGTCATACCACACTTGACATAAAGCTTTTTCTTTCAATGGAACGGTCCAATCAGTGTGTTGGAGTGGTGTTTCCATCACTAGCCACTAATGAATAGCCTTTTCTGGGAATTCCTTTGGGCCTAGAATAACGAGCGACATCTCTGGCTTGGCTTAGTCATTGTGTGAGCTCGCCAGCACCATAAGTTTCATAAGGGGCTATTCTTCTGCTGGCTTTTGCATCATGCAGTCGTAAAGATTGCAGCTCTGTCTTTTAGCCTTGCAGACTGAGATAATTTAACCCTCAACTTTCATTACATGCCTCACTGAATGTGAATAGAACTCGTTCACATGTTGGATATTGGCAAACCAAGGTAATTGCTTTGAATAGATGTTGGTTTGTTGGTTTCTTCTAATTTGTGTTAAAAGGCAAGTTGTGTAAGAGTCACAGTACAGCAATTTGGTTTCTGACTCCCAAAGCATTATAATAATATCAAACCTTGTAAGCTATTAGGCTGTTTAAGAAATGTAAGAAATATGGGACGTCATAGGCTGACCTTCTTCTTCTTCTTCTTCTTCTTCTTCTTCTTCTTCTTCTTCTTCTTCTTCTTCTTCTTCTTCTTCTTCTTCTTCCTCCCACTCCTCCTCCTCTTCCTTCTCCATCTCCACAACCTCCTCCTCCACATCTTCCTCCTCCACCTCCTCTTCCTCCTCCACCTCTTCTTTCACGCCCTCCTCCCCTTCCTCCTCCTCCTCCTCCCCCTCCTCTTCCTCTCCTGTAGGTACTCATTCCAGGACGAGGAGGACATGTTCATGGTAGTGGATCTGTTGCTGGGAGGAGACCTGCGCTACCACCTCCAGCAGAACGTTCACTTCTCAGAGAGCACCGTCAAGCTGTACGTCTGTGAGATCGCCTTGGCGCTGGGCTACCTCCGCAGCAAACGCATCATCCACAGGTGAGTGGGAGAGACACCTTTGTCATCTTCATTATCCTCAGCAACGTCATCGTCATCCACAGAGAAGTAATTTTTTACAACCAAATCTTTTTTTTTTTTTTTTTTTTTACAACCAAATCTCTATGTAAATGGAATGTTATAGAAGGGTCCAGGCACATTTTATGTGATTTCACAGGTTTTTGAGAAACATAGCCCAAACAGCAAATCATCCTCGATGTGTAGTATGAGTGCCCAGAAAAACATGAACATCGGCTCCAAAAACACCCATACACGATATTTTTGAAATGGCAAAGCTCTCAGTATAGTGATGCAGGTCTTTAGATGTTGTACACATTACATTTGTAACTTTATCCACAATGTTATATTAGCTTTTGCACGACTCAAGACGTGACGTTTCCCCTATCCAGCTGTTTGATTCTCTGTGTAGCCTGCTGCTACAGGTAAATGCTGTCGTAGTGCATGTGGGATCAAATCATATCAAAAAGGGTAAATCAGAGCTAATGAAACAGGATTTTATTAAGCTGATCAACACCCTGATATTAAGCTGATCAACACCCTGATAGGCTCTGAAAAGCAGCCGATTACCTCTGGCCCCGTTCCGTCGCTGGGTCGCGGCTGCGAAAAGTTCAGCAGGCTCTTAGCACTTCATATCTGGCTTAAAGACTGCTGCCACTCTGTTGGCATAACTTTTATTGACTGTTTCAACACTTTTTGGAAACAAAATATGCTCTACAGAGATGATGGACTCCACCTAAACAATCTAGGAGCCTGGACCCTCTCGTCACATTTCAAGGCTGCTTTAAGATATTGACTCAGAGACAGTCCAAGCACAGCTCAGGTAATACCCCCCATCCTTTCTAAGCATTATCGTCGTACTGTTGTCTATACTGCCAGGGTTGTTGTCAGTTATTATCTTGTACCCATTCGATTGAACTCCACTCTTAGATCTGCTATTGTTAGCTCAAAAGAGAAGCCCACTGTGGTCTACACATCCAGTGTTATTATTTCAAATGTGAAATATAATACCCACTTGGTTTTCAAATCACATAGAGGGCTTGGGTTGATGCAAAATAGCAACCAAAGCCCATGTAAGGAAGTTAATAACATTCCATCATTGGTTACTCTGAGAGTTCCTCGTATTGACATTGGCTGCGGCCTCTTTCCTCTATTACTAATAGAGATAGACCAAATGGGGCAGTTCTATGCAATCTTATAGCCATATCAACTATATCAATATCAACCATCAGAATGGGCCTGCAACCGCCTATTGAACATAGCTTGTTTGAGTTGGAGACTCCATGTGATTTTAAAAATCATAAAGGACTTGGGTTGATGCATCTGAGTGGCACAGTGGTCTAAGGCACTGCATCGCAGTGCTAACTGTGTCACTAGATCCTGGTTCGAATCCAGGCTCTGTCGCAGCCGGCCGCGACCGGGAGATTCATGGGCGGCGCAGGGATGTGGCCGGCAGGGATGTAGCTCAGTTGATAGAGCATGGCGTTTGCAACGCCAGGGTTGTGTGTTCGTTTCCCATGGGGGGCCAGTATTAAAAAAAATATATGTATTCACTAACTGTAAGTCGCTCTGGATAAGAGCGTCTGCTAAATGACTAAAATGTAAATCTGAACATTTGTCACGGATTCAGCCGAGGCTGCCCCTCCTCCTTGCTCGGGCAGGCTTCGGTGTTCGTCGTCACCGGAGTACTAGCTGCTACCGATCTATGTTTCTGTGTTCTACTTGTTTCCCATTATGTCTATGATTTGTTCCCTATTTAACCCTCTGGCTCCCACTGTGTTGTGTGCGTGTTTGTTCTATGTTTGGTGTTATCGACTGGTGAGCGGGATTGTCCTCCCTGCGTGGAGTTTATGTTCATTTATATTTACGAGTAAAGTACGTTGTCTACTAGCTCTGTGTCCTGCGCCTGACTCCGTCCTACCGCTACACACTGACGCCTGACAACATTAGGAGCTTACTTCCTAAACTGGATTACATAAAGATCTGGGCAATGCAGACGAATCTGGACATTCTGGTATTGACTGAAACTTGGATCTCTGGGGACATTCTGGACTCTGATATACAGTTGAAGTCTGAAGTTTACATACTCTTAGGTTGGAGTCAGTAAAACTCGTTTTTCAACCACTCCACATATTTATTTTTAACAAACTATAGTTTTGGGAAGTCGGTTAGGACATCTACATTGTGCATGACACAAGTAATTTTTCCAACAATTGTTTACAGACAGATTATTTCACTTATAATTCACTGTATCACAACTCCAGTGGGTCAGAAGTTGACATACACTAAGTTGACTGTGCCTTTAAACAGCTTGGAAAATTCCAGAAAATGATGTCTAATTGACATAATTTGAGTCAATTGGAGGTGTTCCTGTGGATGTATTTTTGAAGGCCTACCTTCAAACTCAGTGCCTCTTTGCTTGACATCATGGGAAAATCAAAAGAAATCAGCCAAGACCTCAGAAATCTTTTTTTGGACCTCCACAAGTCTGGTTCATCATTGGGAGCAATTTACAAACGCCTGAAAGTAACATATTCATCTGTACAAACAATAGTACGTAAGTATAAACACCATGGGACCACGCAGCCGTCATACCGCTCAGGAAGGAGACGCGTGCTGTCTCCTAGAGATTAATGTACTTTGGTGTGAAAAGTGCAAATCAATCCCAGAACAACAGCAAAGGACCTTGTGAAGATGCTGGAGGAAACAGGTACAAAAGTATCTATATCCACAGTAAAACAAGTCCTATATCGACATAACCTGAAAAGGCGCTCAGCAAGGAAGAAGCCATTGCTCCAAAACCGCCATAAAAAAGCCAAACTACGGTTTGCAACTGCACATGGGGACAAAGATCGTACTTTTTGGAGAAATGTCCTCTGGTCTGATGAAACAAAAATAGAACTGTTCGGCCATAATGACCATCGTTATGTTTGGAGGAAAAAGGGGGAGCTTGCAAGCCAAAGAACACCATCCCAACCATGAAGCACGGGGGTGGCAGCATCATGCTGTGGGGGTGCTTTGCTGCAGGAGGGACTGGTGCACTTCACAAAATAGATGGCATCATGAGGAAGGAAAATTATGTGGATACATTGAAGCAACATCTCAAGACACCAGTCAGGAAGTTAAAGCTTGGTGGCAAATGGGTCTTCCAAATGAACAATGACCCCAAGCATACTTCCAAAGTTGTAGCAAAATGGCTTAAGGACAACAAAGTCAACGTATTGGAGTGGCCATCACAAAGCCCTGACCTCAATCCTATAGATAATTTGTGGGCAGAACTGAAAAAGCGTGTGCGAGCAAGGAGGCCTACAAATTCACCCACTTATTGTGGGAAGGTTGTGGAAGGCTACCCGAAATGTTTGACCCAAGTAAACAATTTAAAGGCAATGCTACCAAATACTAATGAAGTGTATGTAAACTTCTGACCCAAATGTGATGAAATAAATAAAAGCTGAAAGAAATCATTCTCTCTACTATTATTCTGACATTTCACATTCTTAAAATAAAGTGGTGATCCTAACTGACCTAAAACAGGGAATTTATACTAGGATTAAATGTCAGGAATTGTGAAAAACTGAGTTTAAATGTATTTGGCTAAGGTGTATGTAAACTGCCGACTTCTGTATGTAACCATTGATTCGTGAAGAATATAACTTAGAAATGCCTCATGAGAGCTGAAACCACTGCAGGGAAATAGACTGGATGATCATTTCTCAATACATTCCTCATTAATTCAGTGGGATATTTTCTATTTCTGTCATTCCATTCCGACAAAAAATCCTAAAAGCAGGTGTTTGGGAGACGCGTGTTTAGATTAAATCAACAGCTTTCAATCTGAATTTATTATGGAAGAAGGAAAATATGGTTATTCTAATTTTCATCTAATCTGTATGTAAATTGAATACTTTGAGAGGGCGGCTGTGCACACTGTGGCACTGTGAGTAGGTGCACGTATTCAGTGTGTGTGTTTGTGTGTCTGCTGGTGATACCCTGGCCTTGAGCAGAATGTCTATCCAGTATAAAGTATCCTATGACTCATGATGATTCATGATCATAATGTCAATGACGACATTGCATCAGGATTGATGATTGATTCCAAAAAGAAAAATCATACATTCGTAAGTGCACTACTCCATATTTACTCCAGTTTTACTTTTTCACTATAGATCTATTACCATCAGGGTAATAAATCACCAAGGCCTGTTTTATCAGTACCTTCTCATGGGGTTTTCAATTATTAACACTAAGACGCATCTACATTAGTGGCATCTTCAGAGACAATCCTCTCACAACAAGACAAGTGGAAAAAGGGATAGGAGGTGTGAAGAGGAAGTGGTGGAGCTGTGGTGTTGACTCACTCCCCACAGCGGCTTAATTTAGACAGTTGGAAACAGAGGGGGAGACAGGCAAGTGGGGATTGAACCCCCGTCTCCAGTGGGGAGCAGTATACATGCAACTGAGGCTGGGAGCATTACCACTAGTCCACAGGGTAGGACTGGTGGTAAGGGAAGTGGTGGAGCAGTTTTGTTATTGACTCACTAACTCACCACAGTACCTTCTGCACAAGTGACCAAGTGATTTGAACTCCTCAATTGGTTTTAATATTTCATGCTGAGGTAACTTCCCGTTGGGTTTTTAGGTAATGATGACTGATGAAACCTCGGGATGACTAAAAAAACCACATGATGACTAATGAAACCTCATGATGACTAGATGCTTGGTCTGCACAAAGATTGTAGATGATATCCTTAAGTGAGATAAGGTTGCATTTGACAGATGACAGATAATTTTGGAATATGCACCCTCTTTTCATTTGCTCCAGACCAAGACAGTGGTTAGTCGTATGGAACTCCGTAAAATTATCTGTTTTGACATCAGAAATCATATTGCGTCTGTGAATACAATTTGATGTTTGCTTGCTGTCGAGGCCCGAGGTTTTAAACTAAAAACAGAAGGGCCACAGAGACCGTAGCTGTCTCTATTGTTTTTATGTTCTCCGTTTGAATTATTAGCCACAGTTGTGGGTGTTGCAGTGCTCCAGCACTGTGAAAATACAGCATGGCTCTGAACAAAGCTGTGCTCTGAGCTCTGAGAGAGAGAGAGCCGCCACCTGCTTTAACACAGAGGCAGACAAGAGCTTTAGATGTGCCCTCTGGCTCTCACACTGAAGCTACAGACACATCCAGGCTATGTTTAGAGGAAAGATACAGTCAGAGGGACAAATGTGATTGCAAAGCCTCAAACCTGCACCCGCAAAGGCAACAGCACTGAATACATAATCACATTTGAGCCCAGTCCTTCTACCGCCTATATTGAAAGTAATTCCATGTCTTTCAAGGCTGGCTCTATCTTTATTCAGATTGCTATCAAATGGAACATAGTAACCCACAGCTGTTCTCTCATGCTTACTTCCAACACCGCTGGGCTGCTTTCACCAGGGAGGTGTTCATATGGGGGAGTGTGCATCTGTTCTCTGACTCTCTCCCAGACATGTTGTTGCATATCCTAATGTAATTTTTCTAAGCCTCTTGCATCATGGGGATGTCTGTTGTTTTGATGCTCTCTCATTTTCTCTCACCATGGTTTGTGTTTGTGAGAGTAGATGTTTTCCTTTACTCTCTGATGAGAGCTGGATTTTGCAGCGGCTCAATTCAGCTTTGCTCAGTTCAGCTCTGCTCAGCGCGACACAGCCTCAAACCGGCACAATGTGTCTTTCTGGTTCCCTGTGCAAATGAATGTGGCACTGACCAGACATTGTTTCTCCAAATGTGCTGTTTCATCATCTATCTCCCCACAGCTCTGTCACGGCCCACTGTGTCCCTGACTTGGGTTCAGCAACACCTAGAGCACAGACACATTATCTCACTCAGCAAGTCTCTCTACGGCTGAAACTCATTTGTGAAAGGAAGATAAATGGCAGACATTTGTCAACACATTCTCATCCCACAGTATGATGGTGCATGAGAGGGATGGTTCTGTGAGTAAATGAAGCTTCTTTCTTCCCAATGAAAAGTTTAGTGTTCTGTATCTATAGTCTGCATAAATATTTCACGACAGGAGGAGACGTATGTGTTCATATTTCAGACGGGAAGGCAGGTAAAGCAGAAGAATGTATATTAAATATCCTTTAAACTCACAACAGTGGATTTGTGAACATTGGTTTACTGGGAGTATGACAACATATTTACCTTTTAGTCTACCCTAAAATAATAATTACCTACTTGTATATTACAGTCACGTACCTTACAAGAGCGGCCACATTTTGTGAACTTTCAGCATTCTCCCTACTTGAGTTAGTAAATAATTCATCAGTAATAATTGTGATTCAGTGAGCCGTGCCTCAGAATGCCTTGTTCAAACAGGCGCTCTCTAAAGACCAACCAACTCAAACCGGCCCAAATTAGACGGGAGCCAGATGAACGCTCGTCAGGCAGTGTATTCCAAGCATTGTGTCAATGAATAAGAAATAGCATAACCCTCCTCCACTCTACCACTCCTTCTGTGAAAGCTGTTACTATTACTATTATTATTTAACTGATCGAACTCAAGTGAATGAAAGCTCTGCTTCGGCTAACATCCTGGCTCTTATTGGGGTTGAGGCTGTTCGTTTTCGATGTAAGTTGCTTGCTGTGGTTAGTTGAGGTTTCCCTCCACGTTCAAAGCGCGCCGCTGTCTGATGATACCTCTCATGGTTGGTGGGCGTGGGCGGATGGCTTCTGCTGATGGATGACTGGTGCTCCCTCGCTGTGCTGCTCTAGCCTGCTTTACTCTGAGACATCATGGGGCAGAGCCTCCCCTATGACCTGGCGGCTGTATGTGCTGTCTGTGGTATTATCTGTACCCCGCCCTTCCACAGTAGTGAGGGAGTCATCAAAGCAGTCCTCATTAGGAGTTGGCTGCAGAGTGGACCATGTACACAGAGGCTGCTACAAAACCTAACAGCCCAAACCCCCTCTCTCCAGTCTTCTGACCTGTGTGTGGCGGAGCACATTGAAGGTCTTTTGGGTCGGTCCCAGGCTGTCCTCTGTCTCCCTGTATCAGAGGGGTGTCAGGTGACCAGGTGCAGGGTTTGGTTACTCCTCTTATCCTGATAGCTGGTGTAATGAGATCATTAGATCCAGGTAATAGGTTGTTGGACTAGTCAAGCGAGAGAAAAGCCAGGCGGATCGGTTGCACTGCCCTTCAACTCCACCCTTCCATCGCTGCCTCGGGAGAATCACTAATCAGCCTCACTCAGGATGGGGGAACACAACAAGGACACATCCCAAATGGTACCCTATTCACTATATACATTTACATTTACGTCATTTAGCAGACGCTCTTATCCAGAGCGACTTACAAATTGGTGCATTCACCTTATGATAGCCAGTGGGACAGCCACTTTACAATAATTGTATTATTATTATATTTTTTATTTTTTATTTTTTTAAATATATTTTGTGGGGGTGGGGTAGGGGGGCGGGGTAGAAGGATTACTTTTATACTATCCCAGGTATTCCTTAAAGAGGTAGGGTTTCAAGTGTCTCCGGAAGGTGGTCAGTGACTCCGCTGTCCTGGCGTCGTGAGGGAGCTTGTTCCACCATTGGGGTGCCAGAGCAGTGAACAGTTTTGACTGGGCTGAACAGGAACTGTGCTTCCGCAGAGGTAGGGGGACCAGCAGGCCAGAGGTGGAAGAATGCAATGTCCTCATTTGGGTGTAGGGACTGATCAGAGCCTGAAGGTAGGGAGGTGCCGTTCCCCTCACAGCTCCATAAGCAAGCACTATGGTCTTGTAGCAGATGCGAGCTTCAACTTGGAAGCAAGTGGAGTGTGTGGAGGAGCGGGGTGACATGAGAGAACTGGGGAAGGTTGAAAACCAGACGGGCTGCAGCGTTCTGGATGAGTTGTAGGGGTTTAATGGCACAGGCAGGGAGCCCAGCCAACAGCGAGTTGTAGTAATCCAGACGGGAGATGACAAGTGCCTGGATTAGGACCTGTGCCACTTCCTGTGTAAGGTAGGGTCGTACTCTGCGAATGTTGTAGAGCATGAACCTACAGGATCGGGTCACCACTTTGATGTTAGCAAAGAATGACAGGGTGTTGTCCAGGGTCACGCCAAGGTTCTTTGCACTCTGGGAGGAGGACACAATGGAGTTGTCAACCGAGATGGCGAGATCATGGAGCGGGCAGTCCTTCCCTGGGAGGAAGAGCAGCTCCGTCATGCCGAGGTTCAGCTTGAGGTGGTGATCCGACATCCACACTGATATGTCTGCCAGACATGCAGAGATGCGATTCGCCACCTGGTTATCAGAAGGGGGAAAGGAGAAGATGAATTGTGTGTCGTCTGCGTAGCAATGATAGGAGAGACCATGTGAGGATATGACAGAGCCAAGTGACTTGGTGTATAGAGCGAATAGGAGCGACCTGTCAGGTAGGACGCAATCCAAGAGTGAGCCGCACCGGAGATGCCCAACTCGGAGAGGGTAGAGAGGAGGATCTGATGGTTCACAGTATCAAAGGCAGCAGATAGGTCTAGAAGGTTTAGAGCAGAGGAGAGAGAGTTAGCTTTAGCAGTGCGGAGAGCCTCTGTGACACAGAGAAGAGCAATCTCAGTTGAATGACCAGTCTTGAAACCTGACTGGTTTGGATCAAGATGGAGAGAGAGGGGAGAAAGAAGTCAAAGCATAGGGTAGGGCAGTGTGAGCAGGACCAGCGGTGTCATTTTTCTTAATAAATGAGGATCGGATGTCGTCAACCTTCTTTTCAAAATGGTTGACGAAGTCATCCACAGAGAGGGAGGAGGGAGGTGGAGGAGGAGGAGGATTCAGCAGGGAGGAGAAGGTGGCAAAGAGCTTCCTAGGGTTAGAGGCAGAGGCTTGAAATTTAGAGTGGTAGAAAGTGGCTTTAGCAGCAGAAACGGAGGAAGAGAATGTAGAGAGGAGGGAGTGGAAAGATGACAGGTCCGCAGGGAGTCTAGTTTTCTTCCATTTCCGCTCGGCTGCCCGGAGCCCTGTTCTGTGAGCTCGCAATGAATCGTCAAGCCACGGAGCAGGTGGGGAGGACCGAGCCGGCCGGGAGGATAGGGGACATAGAGAGTCAAAAGATTCAGAGAGGGAGGAGAGGAGGGTTGAGGAGGCAGAATCAGGAGATTGGAGGGAGAAGGATTTAGCAGAGGGAAGAGATGATAGGATGGAAGAGGAGAGAGTAGCGGGAGAGAGAGAGCGAAGGTTGCGACGGCACATTACCATCTGAGTAGGGGCAGAGTGAGTAGTGTTGGAGGAGAGCGAGAGAGAAAAGGATACGAAGTACTGGTCGGAGACTTGGAGGGGAGCTTGCAGTGAGATTAGTAGAAGAACAGCATCTAGTAAAGATGAGGTCAAGCGTATTGCCTGCCTTGTGAGTAGGGGGGGACGGTGAGAGGGTGAGGTCAAAAGAGGAAAGGAGTGGAAAGGAGGCAGAGAGAAATGAGTCAAAGGCAGACGTAGGGAGGTTAAAGTCACCCAGAACTGTGAGGGGTGAGCCATCATCAGGAAAGGAACTTATCAAGGCGTCAAGCTCATTGATGAACTCTCCAAGGGAACCTGGAGGGCGATAAATGACAAGGATGTTAAGCTTGAATGGGCTAGTGACTGTGACAGCATGAAATTTAAATGAGGAGATAGACAGATGGGTCAGGGGGGAAAGAGAGAATGTCCACTTGGGAGAGATGAGGATTCCTGTGCCACCGCCGTGCTGACCAGATGCTCTCGGGGTATGCGAGAACACATGATCAGACGATGAAAGAGCAGTAGGAGTAGCAGTGTTTTCTGTGGTAATCAATGTTTCCGTCAGCGCCAAGAAGTTGAGGGACTGGAGGGTAGCATAGGCTGACATATAGTCTAGTACACTACTTTCGACCAGCGCCTATATGGTTCTGGTCAAAACTAGTGCACTATATAAGGAATCAGCTGGCCTATGCTGGAGATGACGGGCTTCTTCAGATTTGACTGAGTTTGATTAATCTAACATCATAGAAGGGCATTGATCTTGAAGGACAAATATGCTCCTCTGCCCCCTCTTTTACTCAATATAGTATATATCAATGGGAATATACACTAGACAGCATTTTTTCTATTCACAACTCACCCTTTGCAAACACTGCCTGTGCAAGCTCTAGAAAAGAGGAAAGAGAGCGAGAAAGATGGAGACTGATGGAGAGAGAGAAATTGAGAGAGAGAGCAAGAGAGAGCAAGACCTAAATTGATTTTCCACATGTGAAATCATGTGATTTTTTTGTAAGGGGAGAAAGAGAGCAAGAGAGCGATGAAGAGAGAGCGAGAGAGAGAAATGTTTCCACAAACCCTTCTGCTAAAAGTGGCAAAAAAAAGTTGTACGGCAGTTGACGTGACACCTTTAATAGTCCCCCAGCCAGCTGGCTGTGGATACATCAGGCCCGAGTCCATCTGTTGCTCATCTCTAATTGCTAGAATATAACAGTTCCATTTCCTAATGAGTTTGTAGCGCGAGACGAGGGCCTAGTGCGGTGCTGTAGCACTGAAAAGATGGAGTGGGGCCCATGCTAGTACTACGCCCAGGGGAGGTGGAGGTGATTAGGCTTCTAGCTACACCAGGAGTGACAGACGGCCATGAGGTAGAATGACTGGGCAGACACAGGACAACAACAGTAAAGGAGAGGGAGACAATATGAGTCTGAACTTCTCTGGTCCCAGATCTGAATGTGCTTTATTTAAATCCTATGACCGTTATTGTAATACCATATCATCATTATGGCTACTTATCTGGGACCAGGCTAGGTCTGAACACCAGCACATGCTATCATCACAAATCAGCTTTCCCCCATTTGTCTTCTACTATTAAAAGTCCATGAACGAGGAGCAGGGCCAAGGTAATTGCCTGGGTAATTCTTATCAGACAGTGGTCGGGGCTCTCATCCTAGAATTACGCAGGCAGAGTGCATATGATTCAGCTGAATAGAAAATGCAGAACAATAAACTGTGGGTTTTTAGACAACGGGTGATAAAGCCCCAGTGTTTCCATATTTCAGCCAAGGCCATTGTCTGGGTGACAGCAGGGGTGCGTTGTGGATGGCTCCTGCTGGCTCAGGCTCTCACAGTCGCACCCATAATCATCAGCAGGCAGTTGAGTGGCGATGCAGCAGCTCCTGTCCTGGTGTTCCACAATGGCTGCCATTGGTTTTAAATATAAAACACCTCTCATGCTCTTCCGACGCCTCCTTTGAGGGAAATGTCAGCTAACACAATTGACCTTTTTAACCCGGGCCCTGGGCTGGGTACACTGACAGCCCTCCCCCACCTGCCGCAGCAGGCACCCTTTAATATGCTAATCAACCCTGTCCGCTGATGGGGCAGTCAGGACTAATGAGGCTGGGAAGCCGTGCTCCAAAGGCTCATGGTTAGTGGACATGATCACCTGACAGGTGCTGTTGCTACTAGCCCGCTGAGTGATCGAGAATCGAGACGTTCAGCTGATCCAGTGTTATGAAGATGATACAGAACTGTACAGTATGTTGCCAGCTGTCTCCAAAGCCCTGATCGCACAGGCCAGATGTGATGATGTGTCATGTACTGTATCTAACATGAGATCTTTATATTCAGTCAGTGAGATGATTATCCAAGGTTGTCATCCATCATAGTCCTTTAAGGGAAATTGAGAAAATGAAGTAGTGTTTGATCATTACAGAGAAGGACTATTTTGAGCAACTTTATGAAAATGAGAACTAATGCAAAGATAGGGTTCCCTGGGGAAATGAGGAAAAGTCTACATCACATGTAATTTTCATACAATGGACAAAAAAGACAGTAGGGTTGTTCTTTGAAGTGGTTCTCTCTATTTCATCATTGATCGTTGATGCTCATAGTAAAGTCTGTGTGATCTGTCCCCACTGCGGTTCTCATACAAAAAGGCTGGTCTGGTCCACACATGTCCCTCTCCTCAGGTTGCTCTGGGTTTCCCATGGCCCTACCTGCTGGTTGAAATACACGCACGCACACACACACACACACACACACACACACACACACACACACACACACACACACACACACACACACACACACACACACACACACACACTAGGCTTGTGCGGTATAACGTATATACCATATACTGCGGTATTTGGAAATAGCCACGGGATGGTTTTTCAATACCATCAATACCGTTGAAACTATTTCTTTGACGTTTTTCAATAAATGAATAAGTGAATATTTGTAGCTACTTTTTAAGTAAATACCTTCAGACAACTTGTGCAATACATTAGGAGATAAAGCAGATCGCGTTCTTCATCACGTCACATTATTTTACATTATGAAGCTTATCGTAGTTCCCCAGAACAGTTGAGCCAGTCACATGTTTGTTTTTAAATAGCACAACGGGAAAGAGTCCAGCTGTGTACTTGCTAGTTAGCTAAGTAAGTTACTGAATTAATAAGGATACGAGGCATCATATAGTGTTAGCTTTCTGCTGTGTTTGAGAAGTCAAAGTGCTTTGGATGAGTTATCTGTACAGCTGCCACTGCTATCTTGAGTTCCTTGCACTTTTCTCGGCCCCTCAGTCTGCTCCTCCCCCCTCTTTTCTTCTCTAGCGACTCCAGATATCACACAGGCACAGACATGCTGCTCCAGAGCCAGTGCTATTCTTCCTTCAGACAAGCATGCATCAGAACTGTGTTAATTTGCACAATGTCTCTCATTCACATTCGCTTGTAAATGTCAAAACTCACCAAAAATGACATTCGGTAGCTGCTAACTTTATGAGATGGATTGCCTATTTTTGCAATTAGTTTATTTTCGTTTGCGCTCGTTTGCATATTTAGCTAGCAGCCTCTATGGAACTTTGGTAGTACTTGACCAGATTTTGTTAGCTTTCTGGTAATAGACGCCAAATGCTTTTTTTGTGTGTTTTTAGCGCCCCCTTGTGTACTAAGCCGGTAACACCATAAATCCTGGGATGAGAGTATGAAGATATGACAATCTGGATACCGCCTAACCCGAACACACACATAGCTGCTGTACCAACAAACTGAAAGTGCATTGCTAACCATGGCAGTATATGTTGTTTTTCGACACAACAGTAGTAGGCTTGATTACCAACAACGATGAGACAGCCTACAGGGAGGAGGTGAGGACTCTCTGAGTGTGGTGTCAGGAAAATAACCTTTCACTCAACGTCAACAAAACAAAGGAGATGATCATGGACTTCAGGAAACAGCAGAGGGAGTACCTTCTTATCCACATCGACGGGACAGCAGTGGAGAAGGTGGAACCTTTTAAGTTCCTCTGCGTATATATCACTGACAAACTAAAATGGTTCACCCACACAGGCAGTGTGGTGAAGAAGGCACAACAGTGTGGTGAAGAAGGCACAACAGTGTCTCTTCAACCTCAGGAGGCTGAAGAAATGTGGCCTGTCAACTAAAACCCTCACAAACTTTTATAGATGCACAATTGAGAGCATCCTGTTGGGCTGTATCACCGCCTGGTATGGCAACTGCACCGCCCACAACCGCAGGGCTCTCCAGAGGTTGGTGCGGTCTGCACAACGCATCACCGGGGGCAAACTACATGCCCTCCAGGACACCTACAGCACCCGATGTCACAGGAAGGCCAAAAAGATAATCTAGGACAACTACCACCCGAGCCACCACTGCCTGTTCACCCCGCTATCATCCAGAAGGCGAGGTCAGAACAGGTGCATCAAAGCTGGGGCCGAGAGACTGAAAAACAGCTTCTATCTCAAGGCCATCAGACTGTTAAACAGCCATCACTAGCACAGAGTCTGCACAGAGTCTGCCTACATACAGACTTGGAAATCACTGGCCACTTAATAAATGGAACACTAGTCACTTTAATAATGCCACTTTAATAATGTTTACATATCTTGCATTACCCATTTCATATGTATATACTGTATTCTATACTATCTTAATAATGTTTACATATCTTGCATTACCCATCTCATATGTATAAACTGTATTCTATACTATCTATTGCATCTTAGCCTATGCCGCTCTGACAATGACATTGCTCATCCATATATTTATATATTCTTATTCCATTCCTTTACTTAGATTTGTGTGTATTAGGTATTTGTTGTGGAACTGTTAGATATTACTTGCTAGATATTGCTGCACTGTCGGAACTAGAAGCACAAGCATTTCGCTACACTCGCAATAACATCTGCTAACCATTTGTATGTGACCAATACATTTGATTTGATTTGATATGCAGATACACACAGAGTCACACATATGCAGGTAGCCTAGCGGTTAGGAGCGGTGGGCCAGTAACCAAAAGGTCGCTGGTTAGAATCCCCGAGCCGCCTAGGTGAAAAATCTGTCGATGTGCCCTTGAGCAAGGCACTTAACCCTAATTGCTCCTCTTGTAAGTCGCTCTGGATAAGAGTGTCTGTTAAAGGACTAAAACTTACATGGGAGCAGCAACAAACACAAGATTTTAGCTAATTAGCAACTTTTCAACTACTTACTACTTTTTAGCTACTTTGCAACTACTTAGCATGTTAGCTAACCATTCCCCTAACCCTAACCTTAACCCTTTTAGCTAACCCTTCACCTAACCCTAACCTTAACCCTTTTAGCTAATCCTTCCCCTATCCTTAACCCTTTAATCTAGTTTCTAAACTTAACCTTAACCCTAACTCTAACCCCTATGGCACAGGAGGAGATGGCTGCCATTTTACGGCCCTCTAACCAATTGTGCTACTATGTGTGTTTTTTCATGTCATTTATAATTTATTCTGTACATAATGTTTCTGCCACCGTCTCTTATGACCAAAAAGAGCTTCTGGATATCAGGACAGCGATTACTCACCTCGTATTGGACAAATATTTTTTCTTCAACGACACGGACATGAAGGATATTCTACAGACACCCGACAAGGCCCAAATCCCCGTCATTCGCATGAGAAAGACATGGAGATATCGTGGAGGTAGGTCAGGGTGCCTTGTAAGGATCCGACGGCGAGCGAGTAATCTGCCTCTTCCATCAATCCTATTAGCCAATGTACAATCATTTGAAAACAAAATGGACAACCTAAGATTAAGGATATCCTACCAACGGGACTTTAAAAATGGTAATATCTTATGTTTCACCGAGTCGTGGCTGAACGACGACATGGATAACATACAGCTGGCGGGATATATGCTACCTCGGCTGGATAGAACGGCTGACTCCTGTAAGACAAGGGGTGGCGGTCTGTATATATTTGTAAACAACAGCTGGTGCATAAAATATAATACTAAGGAAGTCTCGAGGTTTTGCTTGCCTGAGGTAGAGTATCTCATGATAAGCTGTAGACCACACTATTTACCAAGAGAGTTTTCTTCTATATTTTTAGTAGCTGTCTATTTACCACCACAAACCGATGCTGGCACTAAGATTGCACTCAATGAGCTGTATAAGGCCATAAGCAAACAGGAAAATGCTGATCCAGAGGCAGCACTCCTAGTAGCCGGGGACTTTAATGCAGGGAAACTTAAATCCGTTCTACCTAATTTCTACCAGCATGTTAAATGTGCAACCAGAAGGAAAAAAACTCAAGACCACCTTTACTCCACACATAGAGACGCGTACAAAGCTCTCCCTCGCCCTCCATTTGGCAAATCTGACCATAATTCTATCCTCCTGATTCCTGCGTATAAGCAAACACTAAAACAGGAAGCACCAGTGACTCTGTTAATAAGGAAGTGGTCAGATGACGCAGATGCTAAGCTACAGGACTGTTTTGCAAGCACAGACTGGAATATGTTCTGGGATTCTTCCGATGGCATTGAGGAGTACACGACATCAGTCACTGGCTTCATCAATAAGTGCATCGATGACGTCGTCCCCACAGTGACCGTACGTACATACCCCAACCAGAAGCCATGGATTACAGGCAACATCCGCACTGAGCTAAAGGGTAGAGCTGCCGCTTTCAAGGAGCGGGACTTTAACCCGGACGCTTATAAGAAATCCTGCTATGCCCTCCGACGAACCATCAAACAGGCAAAGAGTCAATACAGGACTAAGATTGAATCGTACTACACCGGCTTCGACGCTCATCGGATGTGGCATGGCTTGCAAACTATTACAGACTACAAAGGGAAGCACAGCCGCGAGCTGCCCAGTGACACGAGCCTACCAGACGAGCTAAATCACTTATATGCTCGCTTCGAGGCAAGCAACACTGAAGCATGCATGAGAGCATCAGCTGTTCCGGATGACTATGTGATCGCGCTCTCCGTAGCCGATGTGAGTAAGACTTTTAAGCAGGTCAACATTCACAAGGCCGCAGGGCCAGACGGATTACCAGGACGTGTACTCTGAGCATTTGCTGACCAACTGGAAAGTGTCTTCACTGACATTTTCAACATGTCCGTGACTGAGTCTGTAATACCAACATGTTTCAAGCAGACCACCATAGTCCGTGTGCCCAAGACGACTAAGATAACCTGCCTAAATGACTACTGACCTTTAGCACTCAGATCTGTAGCCATTAAGTGCTTTGAAAGGCTGGTCATGGCTCACATCAACACCATTATCCCAGAAACCCTAGAGCCATTCCAATTTGCATACCGCCCCAACAGATCCACAGATGATGCAATCTCTATTGCACTCCAAACTGCTCTTTCCCACCTGGACAAGAGGAACACCTACATGAGAATGCTATTCATTGACTACAGCTCAGCATTCAACACCATAGTGCCCTCAAAGCTCATCACTTAGCTAATGACCCTGGGACTAAACACCACCCTCTGCAACTGGATCCTGGACTTCCTGACGGGCCACCCCCAGGTGGTAAGGGTAGGTAACAACACATTTGCCACGCTGATCCTCAACACGGGGGCCCCTCAGGGGTGCATGCTCAGTCCCCTCCTGTACTCCCTGTTCACCCATGACTGCATGGCCAGGCACGACTCCAACACCATCATTAAGTTTGCTGATGACACAACAGTGGTAGGCCTGATCACCGACAACGATGAGACAGCCTATAGGGAGGAGGTCAGAGACCTGGCCGTGTGGTGCCAGGATAACAACCTCTCCCTCAACGTGATCAAAACAAAGGAGATGATTGTGGACTACAGGAAAAAAAGAGGACTGAGCACGCCCCCATTCTCATCGATGGGGCTGTGGTGGAATAGGTTGAGAGTTTCAAGTTCCTTGGTGTCCACATCACCAACAAACTATCATGGTCCAAACACACCAAGACACTCTTGAAGAGGGCACGACAAAGCCTATTCCACCTCAGGAGACTGAAAAGATTTGGCATGGGTCCTCAGATCCTCAAAAGGTTCTACAGTTGCACCATCGAGAGCATCCTGACTGGTTGCATCACTGCCTGGTATGGCAACTGCTCTGCCTCCGACCGCAAGGCACTACAGAAGGTAGTGCGTACGGCCCAGTACATCACTGGGGCCAAGCTTCCTGCCATCCAGGACCTCTATACCAGGCGGTGTCAGAGGAAGGACCTAAAAATTGTAAAAGACTCCAGCCACCCTGGTCATAGACTGTTCTCTCTGCTACTGCACGGCAAGCGGTACCGGAGCACCAAGTCTAGGTCCAAAAGGCTTCTTAACAGCTTCTACCCCCAAGCCATAAGACTCCTGAACAGCTAATCATGACTATTTGCATTGTCCCCCCCACTCCACCCCACCCCCTCTTTTTACGCTGCTGCTACTATGTTTATTATCTATGCATAGTCACTTTAACTGTACCCACATGTACATATTACCTCAATTACCTCGACTAACCGGTGCCCCCGCACATTGACTCATTACCTGTATCCCCTGTATATAGCCTCCCTACTGTTATTGAATTTTTTACTTATCTATTTTTTACTTAACACTTTTTTTTCTTAAAACTGCATTGTTGGTTAAGGGCTTGTAAGTAACATTTCACTGTAAGGTCTACACCAGTTGTATTCGGCGCATGTGGCAAATACAATTTGATTTGATTTGGTTAGCCTAGCTAGCTAACGTTAGAAACAATCCGTAACATACAGCATCATACATTTTTGCAAATTCGTAACATATTGTATTTTTTGCTAATTGTAACATATTGCACATTTTGCGAATTCATAACATATAATAGGAATTCTAATTCATAACATCTCATATTTTTTTGCAAGTTTGTAACATATTGTACATTTTGTAAATTCATAACATTAAACACGAATTGTAATTCATAACATATCATACTGAATTAAGGGTCTCGGATTTACGTACAGAATAATACAAAATGCTCTGAGACCAGGTTGTTCTGACTGACAGGCTGACAGGCTGTCCTCTGGACTGGGCTGGAGAATCAGGGCCTCGGAATTAGGTTGTGTTCTAAATGGCACCCTATCTATCCAAATAGACTGCACTACAGAGCCCTATCGTCAAAAGTAGTGCACTATATAGGAAGTAGGGTGCCATTTGTGATGCAGGGAGTGTTTGTCTGGAAAAGCACAGTTCCTGTCAGTCCAATTTAAAGACATTGGGACATTATTGCTAGTGATATAACTGTGTTTGACATGCTGTGCATTTCTGTGTGTGTTGTTTTTGTTTATTTGTTCTAGGGGCTGATATTGTTATATTTGACAAGGCCTCACTTTAACTAAGGACGTATCAAGACATGACATTGAGTTTTTTGGTTTGTTGATGTTCTGTCCAACAACGATACAGCATTGTCATGGTGATGTTGATGGAGATGGTCAGTGACCCTAATGCTGCTCTGTTTCTCTCTCTGTGTGTGTGTGTGTGTGTGTGTGTGTGTGTGTGTGTGTGTCTGTGTGTGTGTGTCTGTGTGTGTGCTTTTCCAGAGACATCAAACCTGACAACATTCTGCTGGACGAACATGGTAAGACGGCTCAGCCAATCATATCTGATTTATGTCATAAATTGTCAAATCCACAGTTTACACAACTTGAATGTGAAACAACTGAACATTTTACGTGAGGGAAAGAATTCTGTGAGACACATTAGTGGTGTGGGTGACAGCAGCTAAAGTCTCAGCATCATCATCCCTACACTAACATGTGGTGTGTTTTCCATCCTTGCTGTGTAAGGAACGACCTCCACTGAATGAATGATAGATACGTTTAGATTTTAGCAATGGCGCTAACATCATACAGCCACATATAGTCTCTGCATACACACACACACACACACACACACACACACACACACACACACACACACACACACACAACCATACATACAAACACTCTCACACACACACGCACACACACGGAGGCGTGCACACATGTACACACACATGTACACACAAACTCACACACCATTCCAAACACATTCTTGCTCGCACACACATGCTTTCTCCCACTCTCTGGTTTAACCTCCTATTTAGCCCGTAGAGGGTTTTGGGCAGCGGATCAGGGGCAGGTTGGACCAGGACGTGATGGCATGGCAGTCCTTCTGCCACCACAACAGTGCCTGTATATAAAGAGAGAGAGAGAGAGCTGAGAGAGAGAGAGAGAGAGAGAGAGAGAGAGAGAGAGGAGAGAGAGAGAGAGAGAGAGAGAGAGAGAGAGAGAGAGAGAGAGAGAGAGAGAGAGAGAGAGAGAGAGAAAGAGAAATAGTCTCTTTCGCCCTCTGGACTTGAGATGTTATTAACTCCAACGTTATTTATTTCTCATGCTCTGGCAGTGCTCTTTATCCAGACATGACCTGCTCATGTACACGTCCCCTGATCATAGCTTGTCAACAGCAGTAGATGTCTGGACGCAGCAGCCTCAGGACACAACTCTACTGAGCTGCTCTCCTGGAACACAATTTGCCATTACACAGGAGCCGAGTCCAGCTCAGCCTGGGTTTTTCTACCTTTAGTTTACCACTGACCTTTGAAAGACAACACTGGTCAAAAGTGCATCACCATGATTATGTTTTTTTTTTTTTTCAAAGAGCACTGAGTCCTGGAAGAGTTGACCTATCTTTACCTCCCGGGCCCCTTCTGATAAGAATAGCATTTATCGCAGCAAAACAATTAAGTCATGTGCGGGTACAGTAGAGACACTAAATGTGATGTCCTCAGGGTGTGTCATTGAGCTGAGGGAGATATTTTCCTGGGTTACTCTGCTAGAACTGTCCTCCCAGGTTAGTGTGATCGTGTGTGAATCTGTAGGTTTTCTCTCTCTCAGACAAAAACAGACAAACACAGAAAGCGTGTGCGTCCACGTGCGGTAGCACACACAAAGCACGTGCAGACGATTCCACACTCTACATGTCAGCACCCAAAGCCAGTGAGCTCACTGAAATTCTAAATAAGGAGTTACAGTCAGTATCAGAATGGGTGATTAATAATAAACTGGTCTTAAATACATCTAAAACTAAAAGCATTATATTTGGTTCAAAACATTCTCTAAGACCTAAACCTCAACTAGAGTTGTGCATAAAGGGTGTGGCCATTGAGCAAGTTGAGGAAGCTAAACTCCTAGGGATAACATTGGATGGTCAATTATCATGGTCAAGTTATATTGACAAAGTTGTTGTGAAGATAGGGATGGGTATGTCTGTTATAAAAATATGTGAATTTTTTTACACAAAAATCAACTTTACTTGTTGATCAGGCTCTGGTCCCATCTTGTTTACTGTCTGGTAATATTGTCAAGTGCAGCAAAGAAAGACCCAGCAAAGCTGCAGCTGGCTCAAAACAGAGCAGCATGCCTTGCCCTTAGCTGCACATATAGATCTAACATCAACAACATGGATGCCAGTCTTTCTTGGTTGAGGGTTGACGAGAGATTAACTGCTTCTCTTCTAGTTTTCATTAGAAATATTACTGTGATGAAAATTCTAGATTGTCAGCATAATCAAATCACATTCAGCTCAGACACCCATACATACCCCACAAGACATGCCACCAGGGGTCTTTTCACAGTCCCCAAGTCTAAAATGAAATCACGGCAATGCACAGTATTATACAGAGCCATGATAACATGAAACTTGCTTCAATCTCCAATTACTCAAGTAAACAGAAAAATTACATTTAAAAAAATTGATTAAACAACATCTCATGGTATGTCGGGGACTGTGATTGGACACACACACAAACGCACACACACACACACATACACTTTAACACACACATTATTTTTTAGTTGTATTGTTTGTATAATGTTTTAGTTGTATTGTTTGTAGATTGTTGTATTTTACATTTGTGTGACTGTCCTTGTCTATCAGTGTCTCAGTGTTTTGTTACTTGTCATGTTTTTTTTTTGTGGACGCCAGGAAGAGTAGCTGATGCTTCTGCAAAAGCTAATGAGGTTCCAAATAAACAAATAATAAACAAATAAACACACTGTCTATAGGGTGACAGAATGTGTTAGGTCCTGCATTGCCCTCTGCAGGTTAGGCCCAGTGACAGGGGTATATTTTATGTGTCAAACGCTCTAGGGATGTTAAGGACCCAGCAGCACCATAAACGCTATGGCCACCTCCTCCATGCCTAATGTTGCATAGGGTTCACAGCAGATTCAAACCATGAGAGATCCTGGTGAAACTCATTCTCGTCACTGCCATACCTGGTCATTCTCATGTGATTTTACAGACACCCACACATAAACACAAATGTGTGTGCACACACACTAACCCTAACCCTAAATTTAACCATAACTTTAACCTCTAACCGTAATCCTAAACCTAATCCCTAAAATAGCATTTTTCCTTGTGGGGACCGGCAAAATATCCCCACAAGGATAGTAAAACCCTGAATCTGTCTTTACTACAGAGGATAGCGTGAAAGTGTTAGGAGGACAGAGAGAGAGAGAGAGAGAGAGAGAGAGAGAGAGAGAGAGAGAGATAGAGAGAGACGAGAGAGAGAGAGAGAGCCAGAGTCGGAGCTCAGCAGCCGAGAGCTACGCTTCTCTCGTCTAGACTCGGCGCACTCTCTTCTCGAGGAGAGAGAGAGAGAATTAAATCATTGAGAAAACATTAGCTATGGCATCTTCCCCAATATTTGGAACCAAGGACTGATCACCCCAATCCACAAAAGCGGAGACAAATTTGACCCCAATAACTACCGTGGGATATGCGTCAACAGCAACCTTGGGAAAATCCTCTGCATTATCATTAACAGCAGACTAGTTCATTTCAGTGAAAACAATGTACGGAGCAAATGTCAAATTGGCTTTTTACCAAATTACCATACGACAGACCACGTATTCACCCTGCACACCCGAATTGACAAACAAACAAACCAAAAAAAAGGCAAAGTCTTCTCATGCTTTGTTGATTTAAAAAAAGCTTTTGACTCAATTTGGCATGAGGGTCGGCTATACAAATTGAAGGAAAGTGGGGTTGGGAAAAACATACGACATTATAAAATCCATGTACACAAACAAAAAGTGTGCCGTGAAAATTGGCAAAAAACACACATTTCTTTCCACAGGGCCGTGGGGTGAGACAGGGATGCAGTTTAAGCCCCACCCTCTTCAACATAAACAGTTATAATAATAATAATAATAATAATAATAATATGCCATTTAGCAGACGCTTTTATCCAAAGCGACTTACAGTCATGCGTGCATACATTTGTTGTGTATGGGTGGTCCCGGGGATCGAACCCACTACCTTGGCGTTGCAAGCGCCGTGCTCTACCAGTTGAGCTACAGAGGACCACCAGTTGAAGTCGGAAGTTACATACACTTAGGTTGGAGTCATTAAAACTTGTTTTTCAACCACTCCACAAATTTCTTGTTAACAAACTATAGTTTTGGCAAGACGGTTAAGACATCTACTTTGTGCATGACACAAGTAATTTTTCCAACAATTGTTTACAGACAGATTATTTAACTTATAATTCACTGTATCACAATTCCAGTGGGTCAGAAGTTTACATACAATAAGTTGACTGTGCCTTTAAAACGCTTGGAAAATTCCAGAAAACGATGTCATGGCTTTAGAAGCTTCTGATAGGCTAATTGACATAATTTGATTCAATTGGAGGTGCACCTGTGGATGTATTTCAAGGCCTACCTTCAAACTCAGTGCCTCTTTGCTTGACATCATGGGAAAATCAAAAGAAATCAGCCAAGACCTCAGAAAAAAAATGTGTAGACCTCCACAAGTCTGGTTCATCCTTGGGAGCAATTTCCAAATGCCTGAAGGTACCACGTTCATCTGTATAAACAATAGTACGCAAGTATACAGTGAGGGAAAAAAGTATTTGATCACCTGCTGATGTTGGACATTTGCCCACTGACAAAGAAATGATCAGTCTATAATTTTAATGGTAGGTTTATTTGAACAGTGAGAGACAGAATAACAACAAAAAAATCCAGACAAATGCATGTCAAAAATGTTATAAATTGATTTGCATTTTAATGAGGGAAATAAGTATTTGACCCCCTCTCAATCAGGAAGATTTCTGGCTCCCAGGTGTCTTTTATACAGGTAACGAGCTGAGATTAGGAGCACACTCTTAAAGGAGTGCTCCTAATCTCAGCTTGTTACCTGTTTAAAAGACACCTGTCCACAGAAGCAATCAATCAATCAGATTCTAAACTCTCCACCATGGCCAAGACCAAAGAGCTCTCCAAGGATGTCAGGGACAAGATTGTAGACCTACACAAGGCTGGAATGGGCTACAAGACCATCGCCAAGCAGCTTGGTGAGAAGGTGACAAGAGTTGGTGCGATTTTTCGCAAATGGAAGAAACACAAAACAACTGTCAATCTCCCTCGGCCTGGGGCTCCATGCAAGATCTCACCTCGTGGAGTTGCAATGATCATGAGAACGGTGAGGAATCAGCCCAGAACTACACGGGAGGATCTTGTCAATGATCTCAAGGCAGCTGGGACCATAGTCACCAAGAAAACAATTGGTAACACACTACGCCGTGAAGGACTGAAATCCTGCAGCACCCGCAAGGTTCCCCTGCTCAAGACAGCACATATACAGGCCCGTCTGAAGTTTGCCAATGAACATCTGAATGATTCAGAGGAGAACTGGTTGAAAGTTTTGTGGTCAGATGAGACCAAAATGGAGCTCTTTGGCATCAACTCAACTCGCCATGTTTGGAGGAGGAGGAATGCTGCCTATGACCCCAAGAACACCATCCCCACCATCAAACATGGAGGTGGAAACATGCTTTGGGGGTGTTTTTCTGCTAAGGGGACAGGACAACCTCACCGCATCAAAGGGACGATGGATGGGGCCATGTACTGTCAAATCTTGGGTGAGAACCTCCTTCCCTCAGCCAGGGCATTGAAAATAGGTCATGGATGGGTATTCCAGCATGACAATAACCCGAAACACACGGCCAAGGCAACAAAGGAGTGGCTCAAGAAGAAGCACATTAAGGTCCTGGAGTGGCCTAGCCAGTCTCCAGACCTTAATCCCATAGAAAATCTGTGGAGGGAGCTGAAGGTTCGAGTTGCCAAATGTCAGCCTCGAAACCTTAATGACTTGGAGAAGATCTGCAAAGAGGAGTGGGACAAAATCCCTCCTGAGATGTGTGTAAACCTGGTGGCCAACTACAAGAAACGTCTGACCGCTGTGATTGCCAACAAGGGTTTTGCCACCAAGTACTAGGTCATGTTTTGCAGAGGGGTCAAATACTTATTTCCCTCATTAAAATGCAAATCAATTTATAACATTTTTGACATGTGTTTTTCTAGATTTTTTTGTTGTTATTCTGTCTCTCACTGTTCAAATAAACCTACCATTAAAATTATAGACTGATAATTTCTTTGTCAGTGGGCAAACGTACAAAATCAGCAGGGGATCAAATACTTTTTTCCCTCACTGTATATACATAGTATGAAACTTGAAATGTCTTTATTCTTTTGGAACTTCTGAGTATAATGTTTACTGTTAATATTTATTGTTTATTTCACTTTTGTTTACTATCTACTCCACTTGCTTTGGCAATGTTAACATACCGATGCCGATAAAGCCCTTAAATTGAAATTGAATTGAATTGAGAGAGAGCGAGAGAGAGAGAGATAAAATAATAAAGAAAAAAGAGGCAGAAACAAGTAGAAAATAGAGAAAGGAGAAAGTGACTAAGATGAGGAGGATGGAGAGAGAGGGGGGAAAGAGCCAGGGACAAAAAAGAGATTGATGGCACCCTTTTTACGTGAACAAATATTCAGGCTTCTCTCTGGTTCCTCTCTTGTGTTTAATGCACAGTGTCTTTGTGTACATAAAGACCCTTGTCCAGTCCAGACAGACTAGGCTGCTTTACATTCACAGCAGCATCATGCTGGGCATCTGTGCATATGGGAGTGTGTGTGCTTGTGTGCATGCGTGTGTGTTAAAGTGTGTGTAATAAACAGTAAATGTGTGTAGGGTTTTATTGGGACATCCATTTAGCCAAGCAATTGCTCTGCTTAGGGTTGTAAAGGGGGGGTATATTACTGGAAACTTCGAAGTTTACCCAAACAGAATTTTGTTATCTTTCAAGGATTTTATGTAATCTATCACAAGACATCAAGTGGCCCTTTTGGGTACATCAGATTTTTACAGGTGTCTGTAATGATCTCTGGACCTCTTTGTGGCCTGAATAATTCAATACGATGATTTAAAAATAAACATTGAAGGACAAAGCTGTAAAACATTATCCTAAATATAAACCATCAACTTAGTGAATACCATTGGTGTTTATGAGGGTTTTGTCATGAAATGTCCTTTATATTATACACTTTTATTTTACTATGTCAGTATGTATTTGTTGTCGATGTTCTGGCATCAAACTGGTGGCAGTTGTGAACACAGTCAATAGTTGAAAGAGTTGCAGAGTTAATTGAAAATAATGACATTGTTGACTAGATGCTTTTTTCATTCATTAGGTTATTTTCTCTTGAACCATATGGCCTATCTACTAGAAACTAATGGACAATATGGACACAGATACAAAAAAATGTATACTATGTCTGAATATATATTTTTAAGTTAGTCAAGTATACGTTACCAAATTTACGATAGATTGCCATAGATTTTCTGTTAATTACCTAAAATTACTGACGTTTCTGGTATCTTTGGTAAATTACCAGTAGCATTGCAACCCTAGCTCTGTGGCATAAAACACACACACACACACACACAGTCTTGTACAGCTAACCTTGTAAGGCACACACAATTCAGTCCCATTCAAAATCCTATTTTCCCTAACCCCTAACACTAAACCTAACCCTAACCCATACTCTTACCATAATCTAACCCTAACCTTAACCCTAAACCTAACCCTAGCTCCTAACCCTAACCCTAAAACTAATCCTAGCTCCTAACCCTAAACCTAATTCTAACCCTAACACTAATTCTAATCTTAACCCTAAACCCCCTAGAAATAGTATTTGACCTTGTGGGGACCAACAAAATGTCCCCAGTTGGTCAAATGTTTGTTCGTTTACTCTACCCCCAACCAAATCATTCACTCACAGTGACCACATTATGAATGCAGCCAGAATAAACTCTGGGTTCAAACACAAAGAATACCCTATTACTAACGACTGAATAAACTCAGGCACCCACCCAGCACAGCATAATGTAGGACAGTTTTAGCTGCTTGATACCTGTATGCTGCCTTAAGTAGACTGCCTATAAACCTTGTTTCAAATCAATTGTAACCCAGAATTTTGAATACTACTTTCTTCCCAGCTAACAAGGAACGTAACTGAGACATTTGTAACATTTCCCTTAGTCTTCCAGAGGTACTGAATGTCATAGCCCGTTTGGAACATTATAGGCACATTCATAACGTTTCTAATAAGTATTATAGAGGTTATAAATATCAGGTCGCTATACAGACATCATGGGAACATTAAAAACGTTACTTAGTAGTCCATGAAAGGTTCTGAATATCATGTTATTTTGGAGATATCCTAGGAACATTTCATAATGTTACATTTAGAGCTATGGTTTGTCTTCATATGACATTACAATCGGAATGATAGAAATACATTTTTGAACATCATCTCTAAGTTTCACAATAACGTTATTATGACTTATGTGGGGACTAAAATAACTTTGTGATCACGTCCTGGAACGTAATTTTGTTAGCTGAGTTTCCTGTTTCCTTCTACAGGACATTGTCACCTGACAGACTTCAACATCGCTGCCATCGTCAAAGACGATCTAAGAGCCACATCTATTGCAGGGACCAAACCATACATGGGTAAATAACTACACAACACTTATACCACTGAGCTAATGGAAAGGTGACACAGCTCAATGCTACAGTACTGTGTCTTTCTAGTTTCAGAGTTAATATATCTATCTCCCTCTCAATGTTAATGCTTATGCTCCTTATATTTCCTTTTCATTACGTATCATACAGTATCAGATCAATGTTGTTCCTTCTGCTCTGGGGGATCTGATGTAAATTCATAGAATTACAGACTGATTAGAATGTGGAGTTCATTGACCCCGGGTCCTGGACGACCGGTGTGTCTCGTCCAAGGTAATTAAGAGGCGTGACGAATGGATCAGTTTAGTGGGACTGACACAGAGGAAGCAGCAGGGAACAGAAGAGGAGATGGAGGGGGAGGAGAGGATGAATTTAGATCCAGATTTAAGACTGCCATAAAGGATAATGTATAATTTAATAGAAAAAAGTACTTTCATATTCCAAGTGTTCAGAGGGTGGGGATCTCCAGGAAGATAAATGTATTTGTAAAAAGGACCTGAGTCCTTTTTGGTGAAGGGTTTTGAAGGGTTCTAGCAGTTTTAGTAGCAGTTTTGATGGGTTCCATTTTTGTTTTGGTTTTCAGTGCTAACTAGTACTACTGTCCAGTCTAGATGAGCAATAACAGCTGATTGTGTCCCTGCCTCCCTCCCTCCCCAGCCCCGGAGCTGTTCCAGCCACACGAGGGAATACACCCTGGCTACTCCTTCACTGTGGACTGGTGGTCACTGGGCGTCACTGCCTACGAGCTTCTGCGAGGACAGGTACAGAAACAAAGCCCATCACAGCCCATCCCCAGCCTGTAAATAATGTATGCTAAAACCTACAATACATGCTCTTCCTGCTCCTAGAATAGCAATTTAAGTAAGAAAAGAAGAGACAGTGACAACACCTTTCTCTCCAAGCCTGCCCTTGAGATGATCCCTTAATATAACCATGAAAATACCCATCTCAGCCAGCCTCACTGTTCAGATGAAGGTGTAATTACCCTAGCCTGGTCCTAGGTCTGTTTGTGCTGTTTACCAACAGACTTGTGACCGGCCTGTGGCTACCCTCAGGGCATATCTTTTTCACGGGGGGCCAGTTTGATTTTAGTTTTTGTAAAAAAAAAAAAAAGATAAAATACATTTATGTATGCACTCACTAACTGTAAGTCGCTCTGGATAAGAGCGTCTGCTAAATGACTAAAAATGTAAAATGTAAAAATATCTTTAGTTAGGAGAAGAAAAGACAGGGAGGGCAGGGGTAGGACTCCCACTAAGCCCCTGCTGGGTACCTAGTATGACAGGGTCAAATTGTACAGCAGCCCTCTGAGCCCCCTCTCCCTAGCCCTCTGAGCCCCCTCTCCCTAGCCCTCTGAGCCCCCTCTCCCCAGCCCTCTGAGCCCCCTCTCCCTAGCCCTCTGAGCCCCCTCTCCCTAGCCCTCTGAGCCCCCTCTCCTTAGCCCTCTGAGCTCCCTCTCCTCAGGCCCTGCATGGCTTTTAGCCCCCTCTCCCCAGGCCCTAAGCCCCCTCACCCCAGGCCCTGCTGGATTGGACTTTCAGTGGCAGCCAGCCCTGGCATCCCTAAAGCACCACACATCAATCACTCTCACAGCCCCAGCCATCATCTATCCCAAACACAGGAAAACTGTCTCTCCCCTGAGAGAGAGGTAACACAGCATAAGACTGATCTGGTCTAGTTTAAACCCAGATATAGACATTTCTCTTCAGGCAGTTTGAGGGACTATTGTGTGTATCTCTGTGTGAGGACCCGCTCACACTGACGACCTCTGTGTGATAATAACGCTCTGTCCTGGTCCTTCAGAGGCCGTACATCATGCGCTCCAGCACACCGGCCAATGAGATCCTCCAGATGTTCCACAAGGTCAACCCCAGCTACCCCATGACCTGGTCTCTGGAGATTAAGTCTATGCTCAGAAAGGTACAGAAAGATCTGCATACTGTATACTGTAGACACTTGGTTACCTTGTATTTCATCCCTAAATTCCCTGAATGAATAATAAATAGTACATTGTTTTTATACTGTATGCCATGACAACTGTTGACCTTTGCGCCATTACCTTGTTTACTTGAGCTAGAGTTGTATTTGACCCCTACAGTCCTTGAAAGACTAATATATTGGTATTACATGCTAGGATGATCGGTTTTGTAAGCCATGTATGCCATCTCCTTTGTCATCATGAGGTTATAACTGCAAGCCTATAAGGCTAAGTGATCAGATTCTAGGTTGGTTATTCTCCACTGCAGTCAAACTGTTGCCTAGCTCAGTGCTCAAGTAGCCTACCCCCACACCACTCATCTACATTCCTGTGGTGTGTGTGCTGTGTGTCTGATCTGATTTGCTTGCTTTAAACCTCAGCACCTTTCTTCTCCCCTCCTGCTCTTCCTCCTCTTTGCCTCCCCTCTTCTTTTTCCTCCTGTCCTCTCCTCGTCCTCTCTTCCTCCTTCTCCTCCTCTTCCTCTAGTTGCTGTGTATTGACGAGCACCAGCGTGTGTCGTGCCTGGCTGAGCTGCAGGATCTGGACCTGCTGTCTGATGTCAACTGGGACGCCGTGCTCAACAAACAGCTGCCCCCCGGCTTCATCCCCAATGTGAGTCAGACCACAACATTATGTCAACGTTGCCACGACGTTGCCACAGCCCAAAAAGACAGGCGAGTCACAACGCCCCCTAGCTGGTCTGAAAAGGCCGTTACGGGTCATTAGAGCTCATGCCTCCCACACACACACACACACACACACATACACACACACAGCCTCTGCATATCCTAAGGTGTTAGGAAGCAGGTGTGTGACATGCAGGTAAACTTATGCATGCAAGGAAGTGGCGTCATCAGTCATCACGCGGTAGGTCGAGCTGTTCAATTGGCACGGTAACACGCCCGATCGGTTGGTGCCAGGGAGCGCAGCTTTGACTCCCCCGCTTCAAACCTGACAGCTCGTAGAGGAGTTGAATGATGAATGGACACTGATTCAAAGGGAATACTATCATGTCAGTTTAAGTCAGCTGTAGACTAATATCAACAATACTACAGGATGTCGTTGGTTAACAATCTAGCAGGAAATTACAGTATCTGATTCTCTGTAATGGTGTGTGATTATAGAGTGAACTCTCTGTGGTCACTACAGCAGGAGAGATAGGGAAGGTCGATGGAGTGAATCGACAGCCTCTCTCTACACAATAAAAGCTTCATCCTGTATTGTGCTCCTCCCTCAGCTCCTTACCAACAACAGTGGCTGGGTATCCGCTATGTTCTATTTCGAATCCCGGATTGCCCCTTTAAATCTTCATTCTGTGTTGTGTTCCTCTGTTCCTCTTCCAGAGGCGGAGGCTCAACTGCGACCCCACCTTTGAGCTGGAGGAGATGATCCTGGAGTCGAAACCGCTGCACAAGAAGAAGAAAAGACTAGCCAGGAAGACCAGAGAGCAGGGCTCCGATGGGTCGTCCCAGGTAAAGCCTCCCCTTAACAACAAACACCTGCCTCTCAATGGTTCCACTTCCTTCCAGAGGTCACCATCAGTCACTCACAAGGACCGTCTGTGTGTGTCTGTGTGCCCATTTGGCTCGGCAGCAGGTGATAAGTAGCATTAAGTTTGTTCCTTAAATATGTCCCGAGTGACGTAATGGATGGAAGAAGCACATTTCTTATCTGAATAAATTAACGATGTGGACTTTCCATGCATGAAGGAGAAGGAGAATGTGAAGAATGCAATCACTCTCTCTCTCTTTCTTTTGTCTCTCCTTCACACTCTCTACATCCACATAAATCAGCCAAGTCCTCTAGGTGTTTACGCAGACCGTCAGGAAAACACCCAAAGGTTAATTTGATCCCCCAGTAAGAGAGGCGATGGTGAGGGATAAAACACAGACACACGGAAAGAGCTGGAAAGATTGGCATCAGTGATTTCATTAAATGTGCTTTTCCTGTGGTGGTGGGCATTCATCAAGCGTCGTCCTCCGTTTACGGGCAGCGAGTGCTGCTCTTTACTGGACTGGCTGCTGTGGCTGCTGCTGGGGGCCATATTATTAATGTTACCACTTGTTCAAATCAAATTGTATTTGTCACATTCGCTGAATTGAAGTGTAGAGTTTACCGTGAAATGCTTACAAACGAGCCCTTTCCCAACAATGCAGTTAAAAAGTAAGAACCTTTACAAATAGATACAACTAAAATAGTAACACAATAAAATAACAATAACGAGGCAATATACAGGCTATATACCAGTACCAAGTCAGTGTACTGGGGTACGAGGTAGTTGGGTGTGATTGATTGGGGTAATATGTACATGTAGGTTTGGTTAGGTGATTGATTGAAGTACTATTTACATGTAGGTAGGGGGTGAAAAGCAGAAAGTCTGGGTAACCATTTAATTAACTGTTCAGCAGTCTTATGACAGACAGTCCCACAACCAGTCAGCACCCCCTCCTACTCCTATCCCTCCCTTCTCCTCCCCTCCTCTTCTCTCCCCTCCCTCCTCATATAGCTTCTCTACTTTCTATTTCTCATTCATTACAGCAGACTGCTTCTGTTTGCCATCCCATTGTGAGTGAGTGAGTTACAGCCTTTTAAATGTTGTTCACCCAACACGAGGTGGTGCACGTGATGGGAGGGACTTTATCGGCTAATCAGGAGCCATCGACTAAATGTCAAGAGCCATTATAAAGTATATCAGATGTTTCTCAGTTTAGTTTCTCTCCATTCTCAGCTACATTAAAGAGGTATTATGTGACTCTATTGGGTGGTATGGGCACAAATATTGTTCATCAGTAGCAATAATAAGTCAGAGCTGGCCCCAAATTGAGTCTTGTTTTATGGAAGCTGACAACTTTTGTTGGAACTCGCCCAAGTGGAGCTCTGTGAATCTTGCAGTGCTTTAGAAAGACACAATGCAGATTGTTCTTCCCTGGGTTAATGTAGAAGGTTTATTCACACAAACTGAATTTCTCCATAGTAATGAAGTAAGTATATTAACCCACTGGGCACACCACGTAATTTCAATGTGGTGAATTGGGTCATATTTGGTAGATACGTTGATCAATGAGATTCCAACCTATTTTCACCCACTCAAAAGACAGGCAAAAGTTTGTTGAATTTCCAATGTGTTCTCACTATGCTTTCAACCATCTAAACGCACAACAAAGTTCCAATGGAAAATCAATGTCAGATGTTTTGTTTAATTGTCACCTAAATGTGTTCTCACTGCGCTTTCAACCATTTAAAAGCACACCAAAGTTCAAATGGCAATACAATGTCAGATAGTTTGTTTATTTATACAACATTTTAATTTGTTATCACTGTGTTTCATCTAATAGCACAGCCAAATGACCTCGATTGCAGCTTGTTGAAATTACATTGACGTACCTGGTGCAAGTGAACAATGTCGTTTGAGATTCTGTGCAGATTCTTTTAGCAATTGTGAAGATTTCCACAGACCTGCGACCCTGAACAAGCACACTTTCATAAGAATACATTTATTGTTACAGTAACCTCAAAATGTGGCCATGGATGTGTTTCTCATTTTGAATAAATACTGTTACATTAGTTTGTAAGATATCCTTAACATTAGGCTATTTACTGTCTTACAAAAGTAATCTTGAATTTTGTTTGGTTGACAACGCAACCAAATATCAACATTTAACTGAGATATATCTACTGCTTAGATAGTTCCATCTGAGCCACCGGCTTAATCCTATTCTTTAACTTTTATTTTTGGTTGAGATGGAGACTTGAATCCAACATATAATTTGTTAACTTGTATCGCAAAAGTGATATTGAATTGTGTTTGGTTGTCAACGCAACCAAATATCAACATTTGAAGGAGATGTATTTTCTGCTTGGATAGTTCCATCTGTTCCACTGAGTCTGGCTTTAATTCCAGTTGGTCTACAAATTAATAATTGATATGTTGGATTCAAGTCTACATTTCAACCAAAAATCTAAGTTAAAGTATAAGACTAAATCAAATCAAACTTTACAGTTTGATTTGATTGAATCCTATTCTTTAACTTTTATGTTTTGTTGAGATGGAGACGTGAGTCCAACATATTTATTATAACTTGTAGATTCCATTTTAAATCAACCAAAGCTTGAAACCTGAGGCCTATATCCGCAGCTCCCCCGGGACTGTCGCGCAAAATAAAGATCAGCCCATGCAGAGAAGTACGAGATTGAACTTCACTCAACTTTCTAGAGTTTTCCCTGTTAGTTAACACTATCAACGTTTCCCTTTACTGTGGTAATTGTGATCGAATCAACGCAATTTTAGCCACTTTCAAGGCAATATAAATAACTAACTATGCAAGACTTAGAATGCAAAACTAACTATGCAAGAGATGTTGTTGTAGGCAGAACGCATGGGAGTAGGATTCTATTGCATTGACAGGCATGTCCGTACTCTACACAGACTGGTGAGCCATAACCAATCAGAGCTGCAGTAGGCCTATAAACAAATAGTCCATTGCCAAGGGATAGCTGTAGATAGATCAACTCTCCTTTAGGAGGTGCTGCCTAGCAGAGGTGTCATGTCAATAGGGGGCACAGAGCATGTGCCCCCTCAGATTTTTGTTTGTTTTTGTTTCCCTGTAATACAACTAGACACCTAGCAATTTTATGAAGTTTGCTTTAGCTAGCCCTGTGCCTCGTTTCTCAGTTGCGATGTAACTTAAGCATTACAACGATCGTACCAGATGCATCATTATTTATGAGCCAACTTTTTAAGTGTTTCACAAACAAGCACGTAGAGAGAACGTTCACTAAGTGCGACGTTAGACCATGTGTCGATACTGATAGGATCAAAAGAAAAGCAGCGCTGCTCTCAGACCAACTTTCTCAATTAAAATCTTACCTTAACATTAGAAATGTTCCACAATACTGATGACGGATCAGCTTCTAGAGTGATATTACCACCTATGGCTGCAAATAGGATATTGAGGTGGCTTATTATGCTCACCAAATAATAATGCACTAAATCACAGATTGGGAACAGCATTGCGCAAATGTTGTCACACATCATGAAACACATTGAGGCAAAACTTACAGACAGTAGCCTAGTCACAAAATATAATTCAATAAATTGAACATTAAATAGACTTAAATATGATTGAAATAGCCTATGTAGGCCCATGTAGCCTATGTATCACCTCGGTTTTCATTTGAAGCATCATTCTATCCTTCACTTGTTTGTAACAATTGCAAATACTTTGGCAATTTTGTATTTGTAGTCAACTTCGTTCTGAAGGTATAAGCAGTCACAGTCAGATAAAACCTATTGATTCTATGTTTAGCCACCCCCCAGCCATCCTCACTTACTTTGTGCCCCCTCAAATTCTGGGGGTGCATGACGCCCCTGCTGCCTAGCCTATATTCTTTTTCTTATAGTGGATATTACGTTGATGATCTGATGTTGTTTTAAAGGTAAAAATGCAACATATTTTGTCTATGGTGAAAATTGGTTACCATAATGACATAATCCTGCAGTTGAAATTGTATCCTCAAAACATGATGACTTTTTAACCCTCCCGTTGTCCTAGGGTCAAAATGACCCGCCACTGTGTTGAACCAATTTTATTTAATTTTTATATTTTTGGGATCATTTGTGAGAAGGAGGCAGTGAGAATTTAAAATCCAATGTATTTTCCACAGAGATTCCATGTCACAATACGTTGACAAATTACGTTGGATTTAACCAGTTTATGCCCAGTGGGAACTGTCTCAGAATACTGTTCAATGTCTTGGAGATAGGAACCTCAAAGCACTGGGCCTCCCAGTTCCATTTTGTGAACCGTACTAAGAATGCTCCATACATGTCTTCCAGCTGGAAGTGCACTTAACTACATGTATTTTTAAACAAAACCAGTGAGCCAAGCATACATTTTTTCCACAGCGATCTAAAATGGGAAAACAGCATTGTGCGCATGCTTGTGTTTGTTCGTGTATGCATGAGTGTGTGTTTACGTAGAGACCTCTGGGACCACTTGTGGAGAGGAAGGAGGACACACACTTCTCTTGCCTGTAGTGCAGAGAGAGAGAGAGAGAGAAAAAGGCAAGGAACGGGAGGGAGAGAGGGGATGTGTGTTACGTGTACCCATTTCTAAAGCAGTGCAGATCAATATTCTATGAATGGCAGGCGGGGCACTGCCCTAATATCTGACCCAGTCTCCTGCTGGCTCATTACCTCAGGCTTCCTCTCTCTCTCTCTCTCTCTCTCTCTCTCTCTCTCTCTCTCTCTCTCTCTCTCTCTCTCTCTCTCCCTTTCTCGCTCTCTCTCTGCTTCTCTTCTTCTTTCTCCCTGTCTCCTCCTTCCTCCCCTATCTATTTCTTTCTCCCCACATTCTGTTCTCCTTTTTTGACTCCCCAACCCTCTCTCTCTCTCTTATTTTCTCTCTTCTTCTCAGCCTCTTCAATGCTCTCTATCTCTCTCCTACCTCTCTCTCCTTCCTACCTCTCTCTCCTTCCCCTCTCTCTCCCTCTGCTGTTGAACCTACAATGGGCAGTAGAATTTGCTCAATTAAATCACAGATAATGCAGTGGGAAATTGGACTTGTGTTGTCGTGAACAGCATAAATAGGCCCATCCTTTCGAATCAAATTGTATTGGTCGGCACACATATTTTGCAGATGTTATCGCAGGTGCAGCGAAATGCTTGTGTTTCTAGCTCCAACAGTACAGTAATACCTAACAATACAAAACAATACACACAAATCCCCCCAACATTAAATAAATTAAGAAATCAGAATCAGAACGAGCAATGTCAGAGTCCCGAATATAAATACATATACACTGAGTGTACAAAACATTTCCATGACATAGACTGACCAGGTGAATCCAGGTGAAAGCTACAGTATGATCCCATATTGATGTCACCTGTTAAATCTATTTCAGTCAGTGTAGATGAAGGGGAGGAGATGGGTTAAAGAATAATTTTTAAGCCTTGAGACAATTGAGACATGGATTGTGTATGTGTGCCATTCAGAGGGTGAATGAGCAAGACAGGAGATTTAAGTGCCTTTGAACGGGGTATGGTAGTAGGTGCCAGTTTCCCGTGTGTATCAAGAATGGTCCACCACCCAAAGGACATCCAGCCAACTTGACTCAACATGGGCCAGCATCTCTGTGGAACGCTTTTGACACCTTGTAGAGTCCATGCCCCAATGCAAAAGGAGGTGCAACTCAAACGAATGTTTTGTACACTCAGTGTATATGTATATACAGTGAGGGAAATAAGTATTTGATCCCCTGCTGATTTTGTATGTTTGCCCACTGACAAAGAAATGATCAGTCTATAATTTTAATGGTAGGTTTATTTGAACAGTGAGAGACAGAATAACAACAAAAAATCCAGAAAAACGCATGTCATAAATGTTATAAATTGATTTGCATTTTAATGAGGGAAATAAGTATTTGACCCCTCTGCAAAACATGACTTAGTACTTGGTGGCAAAACCCTTGTTGGCAATCACAGAGGTCAGACGTTTCTTGTAGTTGGCCACCAGGTTTGCACACATCTCAGGAGGGATTTTGTCCCACTCCTCTTTGCAGATCTTCTCCAAGTCATCTCACCCAAGATTTGACGGTACATGGCCCTGTCCATCGTCCCTTTGATGCAGTGAAGTTGTCCTGTCCCCTTAGCAGAAAAACACCCCCAAAGCATAATGTTTCCACCTCCATGTTTGACTGTGGGGATGGTGTTCTTGGGGTCATAGGCAGCATTCCTCCTCCTCCAAACATGGCGAGTTGAGTTGATGCCAAAGAGCTCCAATTTGGTCTCATCTGACCACAACACTTTTACCCAGTTCTCCTCTGAATCATTCAGACGTTCATTGGCAAACTTCAGACGGCCCTGTATATGTGCTTTCTTGAGCAGCGGGACCTTGCGGGCGCTGCAGGATTTCAGTCCTTCACGGCGTAGTGTGTTACCAATTGTTTTCTTGGTGACTATGGTCCCAGCTGCCTTGAGATCATTGACAAGATCCTCCCGTGTAGTTCTGGGCTGATTCCTCACCGTTCTCATGATCATTGCAACTCCACGAGGTGAGATCTTGCATGGAGCCCCAGGCCGAGGGAGATTGACAGTACATTTGTGTTTCTTCCATTTGCGAATAATCGCACCAACTGTTGTCACCTTCTCACCAAGCTGCTTGGCGATGGTCTTGTAGCCCATTCCAGCCTTGTGTAGGTCTACAATCTTGTCCCTGCCATCCTTGGAGAGCTCTTTGGTCTTGGCCATGGTGGAGAGTTTGGAATCTGATTGATTGATTGCTTCTGTGGACAGGTGTCTTTTATACAGGTAACAAGCTGAGATTAGGAGCACTCCCTTTAAGAGTGTGCTCCTAATCTCAGCTCGTTACCTGTATAAAAGACACCTGGGAGCCAGAAATCTTTCTGATTGAGAGGGGGTCAAATACTTATTTCCCTCATTAAAATGTAAATCAATTTATAACATTTTTGACATACGGTTTTCTGGATGTTTTTGTTGTTATTCTGTCTCTCACTGTTCAAAGAAACCTACCATTAAAATTATAGACTGATAATTTCTTTGTCAGTAGGCAAACGTACAAAATCAGCAGGGGATCAAATAATTTTTTCCCTCAGTGTAATGGTGTGTATAGTGTAGAAAAGGTGTGTACAGCAGTAGTTATATAGGATGAGCCTTAACTGAATACAGTATATACATATAAGGTGGGTTAAACAGTATGTAAACATAATTAAAGTGACCAGTGTTCAATGACTATGTACATAGGGAAGCAGTTTCTATGGTGCAGGCTAGAGTACCGGGTGGTAGCCAGCTAGTAACAATGGCTAAGTTCAGGGCAGGGTACTGGGCGGAGGCTGGCTAGTGGTGACTATTTAACAGTCTTATGGCCTGGAGATAGAAGCTGTTTTTCAGTCTCTCAGGCTCAGCTTTGATATATGCACCTGTACTGTCTCTGCCTTCTAGATGGTAGCGGGGTGAACAGGCCGTGGCTCAGGTCCTTGATGATCTTCTTGGCCTTCCTGTGACACCGGGTGCTATGGATGTCCTGGAGGGCAGGCAGTGTGCCCCCGGTGATGGGTTGGGCTGACCACACCACCCTCTGGAGAGCCCTGTGGTTGAGGATGGTGCAATTGCTGTACCAGGCGGTGATACAGCCCGACAGGATGCTCTCAGTGGTGCATCTGTATAAGTTTGTGAGGGTCAGGGGCCAAGCCGATTTTTCTTCAGCCTCCTGAGGTTGAAGAGGCACTGTTGCGCCTTCTTCACAACACTGTTTGTGTGGATGGACTATTTCAGGTTGTCAGTGATGTGCACGTCTAGGAACTTGAAGCTTTTCACCCTCTCCACTGTGGATGGGGGCATGCTCTCTCCGCTGTCTCCTCTAGTCCACAATCAGCTGCTTCATTTTGTTGACGTTGAGGGAGAGGTTATTTTCCTGGCACAACTCCGCCAGGGCCCTCGCCTCCTCCCTGTAGGCTGTCTCGTCGTTGTTGGTAATCAGGCCTACCACTGTTGTGTCGTCAGCAAACTTGATGATTGAGTTGTAGACGTGTGTGGCCACGCAATCATGGGTGAACAGGGAGTACAGGAGGGGACTGAGCACGCACCGTTGTGGGGCCCCTGTGATGAGGATCAGCGAAGTGGAGGTGTTGTTACCTACCTTCACCACTTGGGGTTGGCCCGTCAGGAAGTCCAGGACCCAGTTGCACAGGGCGGGGTTCAGACCCAGGGCCCTGAGCTTAGTGATGAGCTTGGAGGGCACTATGGTTTTGAAGGCTGAGCAGCAGTCGATGAACAGCATTCTTACATAGGTATTCCTCTTGTCCAGATGGGATAGGGCAGTGTGTAGTGCGCTGGCGATTGCGTCATCCGAGGATCTATTGGGGCAGTATGCAAATCCCATCCTCCATCCTCCATTCACCTGACTCACTTCTATGACTAAGATGGAGGCGGAATCCGAAATGGTCAGAACCCACGGTATGGTGGTCGGATAGTTATTATACACAATGATGTTACCGAATTGTCGTCTTGAGGCTATATCTGTACAATTGAAATAGACAATGACGTAAACTGTATCTTTACCAGCTTGGCAAACAGCTAACAGAAAGCTCCCTCTAGGTTCATTTTGTAAAATGAAATGTTTAATCAAAAAGCTGGGCATAATTAACTTCTGAACTTCCACCGCGCTGCTCTGCCTGGCCACCTTATCGGCTCCTCAGGGGGTCCTCGTTCTACAGATGGAGAGCTCATCCCATACCACCCCTGTCTGTCTGTCTGTCTGTCTGTCTGTCTGGGCTCTATTTTTGGCTGGCGCTACGGCGGTGCAAGATTTCAACCGCATGTTAGTTGGAATTTTCAGCATGTAAAAACTGGTGCTCTGGCATTTTCCACCCAATGCGCCAGGTTCAGCAATTTACCTGTCTAATATCAGCACTAGGGTTGCAAAGCTACAGGTAATTTACGAAAGTTACCGGAATCTTTAGTAATTTTGGTAATAAACAGAAAATCTATGACAATCTATCGTAACTTTGGTAATTTATACTTAAATAACTTTAAAAACATGTATTCATATATAGTATTAATTTATGTGTGTCCATATTGTCCATGAGTTTCTAGTAGATAGACCATATGGTTCAAGAGAAAATATTTGAGTTGTCTTTGAAAACAAGTGCAAAAATGTCAATTTCTTGCCGTGCGTATCCGGAAATGTAAGACCAATGAAAAGCAGGTCTTAGCAGTAACGGCGTTGGTAATGGAATTGATTTTGTGAGCGGAAGCGCGACCTATCCAGCGTTTATGCTCATGGAACAAGAGAGGAAGTGTTATTTTTGTGCCAGTAACCCTCGTATTAATAAACATAAAAAACAGATGTTTTTTTCTATTTAGTTTCATTTGTCCTGCCCGATGCGTTCCCCAAGTATCCAAGCCTATCAATAAAGGGTTTGGCTTGTGAGACTTCTTTGACTAAATCTGAATCACCAAAGCTTTATTAAAAGATCAAGTTTGGCAGCAGCAAGGGACATCCCCTTTTTATCTAGCCTACATGTATTGTAGGCCTACATTATTTTAGCCAACTCCTGTTTTGGACGTGCGTAAAACCCCCTCCATGTAGGCTGCATGTATCCATATGCCCATCATGAAACGAGAGATGAGATGATGCTGGTGACCCTCCTATTTAGAACTTATTTTCATGTACAATTGCTTGTTTTCTGTTTCATATAATTAAAAGCCAAGCCCTCCATAAACTACCCTTACCACCTAGGCCTCTGTCTCTGTCTCTGTCTCTGTCTCTGTCTCTGTCTCTGTCTCTGTCTCTGTCTCTGTCTCTGTCTCTGTCTCTGTCTCTCTCTCTCTCTCTCTGTATCTCTCTCTCTCTCTCTCTCTGTATCTCTCTCTCTCTCTCTCTCTCTCTCTCTCTCTCTCTCTCTCTCTCTCTCTCTCTCTCTCTCTCTCGCTCGCTCGCTCTCCTTCCGTGCTCTACTTCTCTTGTCTGCCAGGGTCTGGTGCCCCGCTGTGAGAGCACCTGTACTAGCGCTCCAGGCTGATTGGCAGGCCTGTACAGGGGGACAACAAACGTATAGTTGGGAGGCCTCTGAGGCCCAATCTGGCCCCATCAGTCTGCCTAACACTAACCCACCGCCCAGAGAGGGCGAGAACACACCTGTCATAACACTATATAGCTGCCAGGACAGGTCGTCATGGAGATGTTTTTGTTCTCACATGATTAACATATCTCAGTGTGTGACACTGTGTCAGTGTAGGGCAAGTGGGGCTCTGAGAGAGGTAATGTATTTCCTTTAAAGTTTGCAAAACTTAATCCATCTATCTACTTCTTCTTCATTTCTTCTTGTCTGAGTCCCAACAACCATTATCTGGGTCACATAACTATAGGATCTTTAATGTCTTAAAAAGATTACTGTGTGTGTGTGTGTGTGTGTGTGTGTGTGTGTGTGTGTGTGTGTGTGTGTGTGTGTGTGTGTGTGTGTGTGTGTGTTCTCAAACCTCTTTTGATTCCCTAGAACGGTCAGCTCCAGCAGCGCCTGAACAATGTGGAGAGGGACTTCATCATCTTCAACAGAGAAAGGTAGGAGACTCAGTATATGTCCTAACAGAGACTCAGTATATGTCCTAACAGAGACTCAGTATATGTCCTAACAGAGACTCAGTATATGTCCTAACAGAGACTCAGTATACGTCCTAACAGAGACTCAGTATATGTCCTAACAGAGACTCAGTATATGTCCTAACAGAGACTCAGTATATGTCCTAACAGAGACTCAGTATATGTCCTAACAGAGACTCAGTATATGTCCTAACAGAGACTCAGTATATGTCCTAACAGAGACTCAGTATATGTCCTAACAGAGACTCAGTATATGTCCTAACAGAGACTCATTATATGTCCTAACAGAGACTCAGTATATGTCCTAACAGAGACTCAGTATATGTCCTAACAGAGATACAGTAAATAGTCCGGTGGACCACATTAACACCAAAATGTGGCACCTGCTGTCATCCTGATTTTTGTCTAAAATCGCCCAGATTTGATGTCCAGTTTCAATGTAAGTTGCCAGAGAACTGTTACATCCATCCAATAAAGCTCAGCTGAGCAGTTAGGCATATTTTAAATGGCGTAAGGCAAAAGTATTGGGCCACAGGCAAGATTACATATTTACAGCAAAGGTTGTAATAATGAATCTTGAATGTGTCCCCTAATACTGAGTAACATATCATGAAAGAATCTCATGAAAAAAAGTATTTATTTACATGTCATATTACCAGAAAGCAAGAAATCAAGCTTTTGTACTTCAACTGATAGGTCAAAGAAGACTGTAGCAGACACAGAAGTAGCAGACCTCACCACGACAGAGAAGAACAAGGCTATGGAAGACGGACAGAACAATAACGTGGACCCGGTAGCCTACATATCAGGATAGCGGACTACGGCTTGAGCCGGAAGTCGCCACGCTAACCTGGCCACAGCTTGTAGATCACCACTACCCAATCGTCCACTTCCCCTCTCCCCCGGCTGGCGCAGACACTCAGATCGATTTTTAACCCTGACACATTCCCCCAACAGCCAGCTATTATACCCAGACCCCAGACTTCAGGAGCTCACATATACTACTATTTTACAGAGTGAGAGGCAACTGACCTAGACAGACAGACAGACCCTGGCTCTTTCCACTTTTCCTATGACAGGGACAAGCTTCTCAGTGGGCAGCCCTCCTCACACTCTGCCCTGACCTGCCCTGGCCTGATGCACCATAGTCCCCCGGAGCTCCCCTCCCTCCACCAAGTCAGCCAGGCCCAGGAAATTACTTCCCTGCAAACCCAGCAGAGAGCAGAGCCAGACAGGATACAGCCACCATGCATGTTATGCCGAGGCTCAGGCCAGGCAGGAAATTAAGCCTAATGTTGACAAATAGGAAACTACGTCTGCAGTGAAAACAGTGCAGACTTGCTTTAGGAAGAGAGAGGGGTTGTGAGTAGCGTCACACAAAATGAATTACGATTAGAGATGAGATATGAGGCCTTTGTTTTCAAGACACCAACCACAGATTCCTCTTCGAAGACAAAGATAACCACTGTAGGCTTGAGCGCTAACTGCTGAACTTAATACGTCTCTGTGACATTGTTAGGCATCAATGTGCCTCTCAAGCAAACCAAAATGAAGGGTGCTCGACATGGATATTTGTACATAAATCTTCATAGATAAATAGATATTTATTGTCTGCTTTGCACACGCTTATCCATTAGTTGTAGCATTTATGCGCAGAGGTCAAAGAGTAGTAGATGAATCCTCATTCTCTTCTGGTTTTTAGAAGGGTGCCTTTAGAGGGGTGCCAGTAGGGGAGGGTGGGGTAAGTTGAGCCATTTATTACATTCAGAATCAATCTGCCAAGGGATATATAGTATTATTTCTAATAAAGATAACTACATATATTTCAGGATGTTGTGAATCCCTGCAAATAATCAGAATTCATGTAAACGGTATACTTTTGAAAACATATCTTGTAAAAAAATAAGTGGTCTCTTGGCACAATTTACCCCGGGGAATGGGGTAAGTTGAGCCACGGGACAGGGTAAGTTAAGACGCCAACACATTTCTGTACTGAATGAAATATTACCACTATCTTTTAAAACCATGTCTATCTTTATTTCCCAAATACAATCCATCACATCATTTTGATATAAACACTTCAATTTGCTCAACTTGCCATTGGCTCAACTTACCCGATGGCCAATGGCTCAACTTACCCCAAGGCAAACATTTTGACTATATTAGCCCACACAGCTTCAAGAATGCACTTCATGCTAGGTTTAGGACCTCATATTGAAGCTAATAGAGTGATAGAACAATCTTAAAATGATCTACTTTGTGTTACAGGAGTGGGTCGCAGTTCCGGAGCGACCCACTAAGTGTCATCCTCCGACAACCATAGGCACATCCTCACTCACAGTCAGGACTAATTATCTGCCTATTGGTGTCACCTGTGGCTATCTGATTCACCTGTGTATTTATGCCCTCACTTCCCTGTGTTCCCTTGCTCAGTTTTCTCTGCTAGTTCCTTGATGTCAAGCAGTACATATCAGTGTCGGATCACGTGACGGAGTTACAGGTACTCGAGAAGTGCTCTCCCTGTGTCATTGTGTTTTTCCAGTCAGAGTTAGTATTTTGTATTGTTTGCTGTCAGCCTGTTTTTTTGGAGACCTATGTGCTCCTCATTTGTTTTCGTGAATAGTTCGTTGTTTTGTATCCTGGTTTTGGCACCACCGGTAAAGATCCTTGTTTCACCATCCTTGCCTACTGTCTATCCTGCACCGCACCTGGGTCACACCTCACACCAACCCTTACAACTTTGGTTTATTTGTTCATTTGTTTATTTGGACCTAACTTGCTTACCATTTTTTTCCATGTGCTTTCTTCCTCCATGAAATTATAACTTCTTCCTAAATATTTGGTCAAACTATTAATTTTATGTATGGTTTCCTAGAAACAAGGGTGGCTCAACTTACCCCTTTGGCTCAACCTACCCCACTCTCCCCTATGTGCCTTATAACTTGTCTATAGCATGTACTGGGTTTCCCCATGTAGAGTATGATAATCATAGTCAGTTTGTCACACTGTAACTCACCATCCTGTAGTCCAATATGTGCTTTGGCAAATAGCTTTGCCATTATTTTAACCCTCTGCAATACAATTCAAACTTATCCAAGGCTTTATCTGTCCCTGGTTATCAGATCTACAATTGGAACCTTTCTAACAACCATGATTGGTACAGATATTCAAACTATCATTAGGTTTTTGAGAAATGTATATAATTCAAGGACCCAATGAAAGCAGAGTTGTAAAATGAGGACTGTATTTTGTTTGTCATTTGTTGTCTGTTTGTTGTCAAGCAGGTGTGCCTTAATTAATTATGTTTCTTTGGGACACCAACCTTTACCACTGCTTGTGCTTTATTACTGCGCTGCTTTTCAACAGCAGAAACACTGGTGAACTTTTCCTTTTGAATTCACAGGTGTTACCTAATTAACTGCTTATTGTGTGTATTTCATAAATAGCCAGCTAAATGTGGCCTTTTGTAGATTTGGCAACAGTTGGAGGCATTGGTTAAAAAGACTGAAAAACATAGTTGTAAAAGAGTTGTATTAGTCTCCTCCTGTGCAAACAGCCTTGGGGCATACCACATAGCACTTAGGGTAGAGGCTGTATATTTTTCAGTCCTATTACCTGGAGCTGTGCCCCTCTATATGGTTTCTTAAAGGTCTAGTGCAGACAAAAACATGATTTTCCTGTGTTTTATATATATTTCCACACTATGAGGTTGGAATAATACTGTGACAATTATGATAAGGCCCTGTTAGTGTAAGAGCTGTTTGAAAAGACTGCCGGAAATGTCATCCTTTTTTGGTGGGATGGAGTTTTGGCCTTCCATGGTGACATCACCATGTGGTAAATTAGTTAATCGACCAATATGAAAGAGTTCCAAACCTCTCTGCCAATAACAGCTAATTTTCTGTTTTCCACTCCCCATTCAGACCACTCCCAGACAGTCCTAGCTAAATTCTTGCATGAGAAATTGAACTTTGCTAAGAAGCTATTTTTGTTTCTTTTTGACCATTTGAATTGAAAACAATCAAAGTAAGATACTTAATTGTTACCCAAAAATGTACGTCTGCATTGGACCTTTAAGGCTGGGGGTTTATGGGGGTTGTAGTGGTTATGGTGGGTATTCATCCTGTAGTTGTAGGCCTGTCTGGCTCTTCCTAGTCAAAAGCATACCAATCACACTGACTCAGTGGAAATCATCTCCTGGAGCACCCTACTGACCTCAAAGAGAGAGACGTTTGACACCTGCTTGCCCTCCAGAGAGAGATGATATAAGGAGACTTTCTGTACATAACCTGCGAAAAACTAGGATTAGAGAAGCGGGCCAGCAACCAGAGGGTTGCCGGTTCGAATCCCATTGCAGACGGGGGGGAATCTGGCAGGCGTGAGCTGGTAACCGGAGGGTTGCTGTCATCAATATCTCAGGTGCCACCTACTGCCGATTTTCCCTTGAGCAGGGAACTTAACCCCCTTAAGTCTGCTCATTGGACGCTGCCGTCTGCTCCAGCCTCTCCAACCTAATGTGTGTATCTGTGTGTGTATATCAGAGGGGTTGGGTTAATGCAGAAGACACATTCCCATCAACTAATAAAGTATATCTTAAAACAACGTGATGAATTAGCCAGAGAAATACCTCAGAGGGTTAAACGCTAGACCTGTTTTTGATAATGTGTGGTGTTGGTTTTCTGATTAGCAGCAACAGGAGACTAGAGGGAAGACTATAGAATTATTGATGGCAGATAAATAAACAAATGCATTTCAAATTGGTTTCAAACAAGCCTTTTCTCCATCTCGATGCTTCGTTTGTGGTTAATTTTCTATGATAAACTACAATGAAACAATGCCACCTAGTGTTTGTTAGTGGTAGTGCTTCTGTGTAGTTAAAGGCCCAGTGCAGTCAAAAATGTTTTCTATTTCCACACTATGAGCTTGGAATAATACTGTGAAAATTATGATAATGCACTTTCAGTGTAAGCGCTGCTTGAAAAGACTGCCTGAAATTTCAGCCTGTTTTGGTGGGATGGAGTTTTGGCCTTCCATGGTGACATCACCATGCAGTAAATTAGTTAATAGACCAATAAAGAGAGTTCCAAACCTCTCTGCCAATAACAGCTAATTTTCAGACCACTCTTAGACAGTCCTAGCAAAATGCTTAAGAATTTGCCCTATGCTAAGAAGCTATGTTTGTTTATTTTTGACCATTTTGAATTGAAAACAATCACAGTAATTGTTACCCAGAAATGATTTGACATTGAGATAAAAACGTCTATTGGACCTTTGAACACAATTTACCACAAGGGCAGTCTATTTCATCCCTGCCAACTGTAGACTGAGAAAACAGGATTTAGTTGTACTCAAATGTCAAAGACGTGTTTACAAAAATCCTTTCACGTTTATATATTTCTGTCTGTGCTAATCCGGTAATCTATTTCAAATAAAGTTGAGGATTAAAACGGGGTCACGCCTCTGTTGTGTACATTGACTGTTAGTATTTCTGTAGGAGTGCCATGTCTAGGGTTGGATGAGTCTGTGTTAATGATGTCACTGATATGTTGGAACCAAGGTAAACACCACTGATAATGTATAAATTTTTTAAATATTGATTTTGCCCTTTGCAGAGACGGGCTTATGCCTGAACAGGCATGGGGAGCCACAGGACACCCAAAATAAGAATGTTCTAGAGCTGTGTGCTCTCTGTTTCTCTTGAACAACCTTATGTTGTGTGTAAGTTCCTCAGTAGTCTTAGTAGGTGGCTATGGATGAGTGACAGGGCTCTAACGCATTAGGGGCCTTATCACTATGAGACAAAAGGGCAAAGCCATGAAAACAGTCCTAAATCAGACCAACACACAGCACTGGGCACCAAAGAGAATAATCTATGTATAGCGTCCCCCAGACTACCCTTACAATCAATTGTAGTCCCGCAGAAACAGGAAGCATATTTTAGGCTTGATTTGTTTGTCTGGTGTTTCTATGAGAAGGCTTTGTTGCTCCTTCTCCAGATTTGGCTCCAGTATTTGTTGTTACACACCAGAATGGTGAGCTCACCAAGTAATTTGGGGTGAACGAACCATTTTAGCCACCGTTTCCTTGGTGAATCACACTGTATTCTTCAAAGCTGTGCATGAGCTAATATGTCATTTGGTACTTCCAGGGCTTTGTGAAGCCTATGCTGAGTTTATGTCACACTTCATTATGGCTGAGCTCCTCCACCCCTTAGAAAAACAGAGGCTATGTTCAGTGCTGTTGAGGTCATAGTGGACAACAGCCAAAGTCATGCTGCCTGTAACTGATTATCATCTGTCCTATTCTGACAAATATGTAGAAAGTTTTAGTTTTTACCTCTTCCCTGATACTATAGGATCTCTTTTATAGATCTTGCCAGAGATTAAGTCAAGACTGGAGTCCTTGAGTCCGAGACCTCTCTCTCTCTGACCGCCCACCCTCTCCCGTCTTAATCAGTCTTACCTTCAGTCATGTTCCTCAACAGATGAAGCTGGAGACATTACCTCTTGATACATCATCAGCAAGTTACATGCATCATGTGGTTTTCCCATTCACTGCTAGTCTGACTGGCCAACTTCTCCCCAGATCCCCTTTAAGACAAACCCCCATTACTCTTCCACGGTGGGCTTTGTGATCAAAGTTGATCCAGCACTTTCCCACATTCACAGGCTAATCTGTGAGTCTCCTTCAATGATATACGCTCCTCATAAAGCCAAGTTGAAGTCAAGCTGGAGGATCACATAAAATAAGAATAACAGTTGTCTTTATTGGATTTCTCCTCAAAGAGCCTCTCTCCCCCCACACAAGCTCATCTGTTGTAAATGGACATACTGTATAAACTAACTGGTCAGTGACAGCTACATTATCTTGGGAGGGTTTATATACAATGACAATAAGTCCTTGTGAACTGGTTGTGTTTGGAAAATAATGCTGACTATCTCCCACTCCAGACTGAGATGACGTTTTATAGAAGCAATCTTCTCAGCCTGTCATAATTACAGCCATCAAAAGTGATGTCATGACACTTTAACTGGCTATAAAATATAAAAATGATAACAGAGCGGTGACAAGTTTACTGCCAGGTTTAACAATTGGTCTGAAAATTGGAAAATCCCCAAAAAATGGAAGTGTACGAATCCAGAATGGTGCAGATAGAAATTTAATATACTGTAACAGCAATAATACTGTCAGTATTATTAGTACTATTAACTGTCAGGTCTACACATCCAATTTCTATGAGTGATGTTCTCAACAATATGCTCTAGTACAGTCCTGGTCAGAATACATTAAAAGGTATATTTTTTATTTCTACTATAGTGTACATTGAAAGATAAAAGAGTGACAGCCAGTCAGTTGCAACTCATGTTTATTCAGGAACAGTTCATAACACCACATCACACCTCAATGTTTTTTTTAACCTGCCTTCTCTGGGTTTTGATACAACAGTAAAAAAACAACACCATAAAAACAATAACAACGATCAGGTCAAACTAACATAAATATAATCACCACTTGGATTGCTTGAAGTTCCACATCACTCATTAAAACAACGACTTCCTCACAACCTCTTCCTCAGCTGATTGGGATAGCAAAAATAAAGCACCTCCTCGCCTGTTTCTTAAAACATACTACAATCCCCGGCCTTGTCTGGGACAGGTAGACCAACCAGACGCATAGAAAAGAACTGTGAAAGAGAGTGACCCAGGTTTAAGGCTGTCTGTCTTCCCCTTGGTGTTAGTTACCAAACCAAGGGATGTCAGTCAGGTATAGTGTACAACAATGTGGAGACTCTCAGAGTGTTTCAATGTTATGTTCTTGAATGCAGGGTATGATGGTCTGCTGCTACAAAATGAGATCCCACATTGTCAGGAAAATACAAATAAAGACAGTGGTGAATTACTGTTATTTCAAATCAGGGTTGTTACTTTTCTGATTTCATTTTCGTTATGCATTAAAATGTTCACAAAGCTCAGAATTACAATTTCACGACCCAGGCCATGGAAGTTGAGCTTGGTACTTCTTGCGCAAGGGTTTCATTTTCCTTTTACCACCCAGATGACTTGCTCAGCGGTATGTATAGGAACAGGCATTAAGCTTGAAGCAATTGCAAAGGACGGTTTCTCACAATGTAATCTACAGCCAGGATGGAGCGGAGCGCAAAGGAAAATAAACATGACAACCATTTCTACCAACATGCTATTGCATGTTTACAAAATATCTGTATTACCAGATGTGTTTTTATCTTGTTTCTTTTTTTTAAATCATTAATGACTATAATTTCTGGTTCAACAACCCAGGGAGCCAGCGACAACATCATTCACAAAGCTACGTTACATCTACCATACATACTCACAATGCCACCTATCGGTAATGGACGTTACTGCATGTTATCATTACATTGCTAGGGAACTACTGTATATCTGCAGACTAGTACTCAAAAAGGGTGACATTGAAAGCCGAACATGATGGAAGAAAAACCAAAGCATTGCTTTGAGAAAGGAAGTATTACTTTTCCTAGGGAACAAGCTTCAGAACACTGTGGTCATTGGTCATGACAGTTATCATGAGGTTAATGTAACTATATTATGGATTCAGAGTAGAACCTACACTGTCAATGCACAGTTAAAACAATTACTAATGTTGACAGTAAGGGACAGTAATACATATTGATTACCTATATTCTGGTTATGACCATGCTCATGTAATTCCATAGCATACAAACTCAATCTTTGTGTAAAGGTTTTGTCAAATCTCCTTTAAATTAACATATTGTTCTAGTGACTGACCTGCAATTCCCTAGGAGGAGGAATACTGTGCTTTAGAAGCTTAAGCAGGTAGCATTGTGGCTGGTAAGGCATGAGGATTCAGTGTTTTTCTCAACTCTTAACTTGTAACTAATCATGTCTCCGTCTTCTCCCAGTGGCTGTTGTCATCTTCTGACTGGTCTCTATCCTGGTTCAACCTCTTAGCTAAGGGATGTGATGTTGGAGCGACCACCGGGGGGAACTACGATGCGGCGTCCCGCTGGCCGGCAGGGGGGATCCTCTGTAGTGGGGGGACCTAACACAGACAAACAGGATTTAGCACTGTCTCTTAAAGATTCCCCTTAACAAAACCAGTTTCTCCACTAGCAACCAACCAGGTGACATGACCTTGGCGACCTCTGGAATAAATCCCTTTTCAACCGCCAACAGGATTGGGATTAGCCCTGGATTAAATTGACGGAGAGATTTACGCCTACTGTTTTAAATCTTACACACTCTCCATGCCAGGGTCTAGTGTTTTATACTGTAGAACTCTACCACATCCACTCTGCACGAAACACGACCAAGGTTACTTCACATCTGAAGACGGAGAAGTATATGAACCCTGTGGCTGGTGAGATGAATCCCTATTCTGCAGAGTCCTGTGAGTGTTTGTGTGTGTACGCGGGTATATCTGTATGTGTTCTTGCGTGTACTGGATGTAGATGAGAGGGTTATTTATTCCCAGAGTGAGTCGCTGGTAGCCGAACAGGGGATTATCTGGGAAGCCAGAAGGAGAGAATAGACCAGGTCTGTTTTTATAAACACACAGCCTGGGAAAGGAAAGCAGGCTCTCTGGCTATCTGGTAGTGATGGGAATGAATGGAATAAACCCCCCACTAGACTACAGCCATGGGGAAATACTTTCCAATGCAGGTCACCCTCCCTCCTCCTGTTAAACTATTGTTCATTTGGCTCCTCCCTGAAAGGTTGTATTTTGATAAGAGGTTGCAGATGTATGCAATCGCACTGTCACTCAACACTCAACTAAGCTCTGCTATTGGTTATGTGAATGAACTTCAGATACATAAATAGTTGAATTAAGATGCCTACAGATATTTCTTAGAACATACTGTAGTTGAATTAAGATGCATACAGATATTTCTTAGAACATACTGTGGTTGAATTAAGATGCATACAGATATTTCTTAGAACATACTGTAGTTGAATTAAGATGCATACATATATTTCTTAGAACATACTGTAGTTGAATTAAGATGCATACAGATATTTCTTAGAACATACTGTGGTTGAATTAAGATGCATACAGATATTTCTTAGAACATACTGTAGTTGAATTAAGATGCATACAGATATTTCTTAGAACATACTGTAGTTGAATTAAGATGCATACAGATATTTCTTAGAACATGCTGTAGTTAAATTAAGATGCATACAGAGATAGGGAGTGAGAGAGAGAACCAAGACAAAGCTGCATCAAGCTGAAATGAATTAAATCAATCAACTCAATGTTGTGACAAAAAACAGATAACAAAAAGACTTGAGAAACATATAGAGCACTGTCTGGAAGTACCAAGATGGCTGGAGGACAAATGTCTTGTGCTGTGCGCATTTGTTACCTCAAACAAATCAGGAAGGCAGAAAATGTGATTATGGTACAATGTCCGATATTCCGCAGACAAATGGCAAAGTCGATCATGGCAACATATCATGTGTGAAGTGCCTTGTAATGTGTCAATGTTGACTGTTGTTGAGTTTGTGTGTGTGTGTGTGTGTGTGTCAAGTTCTTGGTACTTCCTATGACAGCAAGGTATGGGAAGACAGATGGGTAAATTAAAAGGTTGCTGAAGCTCACCGCGTTGTGCAGGGTTACCTGCTAAGCTAAAGGCAGAGTGGTGGAGGTTCCTCACGGGCTGCTTGGTGGGGGAGGTGCGGGCAGACGCTGAGGGGGTACCGCCACGGGACATGGGCGAGAAGTCAGACACGGGTCCGTCATACATGCCCCTGGGCACTGCCCGCAGGACTGCCAGCTGAGAGAGAGGGGGGAGGGGGGAAGGAGAAGGAAAAAGGGGGAGTGGAGAGGAAGCAAAAGAGAGAGGAACGAGGAACGAGACAAAGGAGAGAGAGAGACATTAATAGGGTATCATTTCTGTTGGTAACTTTACAGCAGTTCTCCAAGACAATGCCTGTTTATAATTTGATTAATGGGTTTGTTTGTAGAACGCGTTGTGCCTGAATCAAAATGCATATTTCACCCAGTGTTTTCCTAAGGAAAGCACTTCCAGATTTACTGACAGACAGACACACTGAAGACTGAGACACTATGTTCTTATTGGACATGCCAGCTTCTGTCCTCTGTCCTAGGATTATGTGACTAAGGAATCCCTGGAATTTACACTCTTAGAAAAAATAGTTCCAAAATGCCAAAGAACCCTGTTAGGTTCTAGATTGCATTAATACAGAGGTCTCACCAAAGAAACATCTCTATATTCTGGTCAAAAAGAGAATGTCGTCAGAATTAGAGGGTAGCCCATTCAAGTTTTTTTTTTTTTTTTTTTTTTTTTTTTTTTTTTAGTCATTTAGCAGACGCTCTTATCCAGAGCAACTTACAGGAGCAATTAGGGTTAAGTGCCTTGCTTAAGGGCACATCGATAGATTTTTCACCTAGTCAGCTCGGGGATTAGAACCAGCGACCTTTCGGTTACTGGCACAACGCTCTTATCCACTAAGCTACCTGCCGCCACAACACATATAATATAACCCACTGTGTTGAAAAATCCACTTGATATACCACACTTTTGTTCCTGTTGAGTATTCACTACCACCAGTAATAGGAGTTTTCCTATGGACACATCGTATCCCTGCTACAACAGGCACTCCCTGACAGTCAGTCGTTACAGTATATAACCCACAGCCAACAGCCAACGCCCCTGAGATGAACCCTCAAGTCTGACATAATACTTCTCTCTCAAACATCCCCTCCTTCCATCCCCCTATTCCCCAGCACCTACATCAAATGCCTGTCTTCCTCCAGGATATATGAGATCACCCAGAGAGGTAGTTAAGACACCATTACTGCATTTTTGGCAATTCCCATCTGCATTACACACTCTGATAGCTATTTTTATCTTGTGCCCCCAAACTCCTATTATGCCCCCAAAGCCTAGACACAGACAGACACGCATCCAGCCCATAATGCATTGCTCCTATAGCTGGCACCACTGCCACTGCCAGAGAGGACAGACGTCCTTCGAGTACAGTACAGTTTGGTGTGATAAACAGCTGAGATATCGGAGTACAACCTGTCTCCATTGAACACACTGTTTTGGATGACCATTTCAGTATGTACATTGAGATTGATGGTATGTCTGATGTGTGGCATGGGCTGAGCCACAGCAGCAGTGTGCATCCGCGTAAAGCTAAACTGTCTTTAAAGTAAAGCCGCACTGACATCTTCCATGTTTGTGAGTTCTGGATGGCATCAGATTAGTCCTGATTAATCCCAAACCACTGAGAAAACACTTCCAGATGTCCCCAACTCACAGACCTCACAGACCTCAAATACTGTACCTCACACACCTCATATCAGTGGAGGCTGCTGAGGGGAGGATGGCTCATAATAATGGCCGGAATGGAGTTAATGGAATGGTATCAAGTGCATGTTTTTTAAATTGTTTTTATGTGTTTGATACCATTCCTTTCACTCCATTCCAGACATTATTATGAGCCGTCCTCCCCTCAGCAGCCTCCACATACCTCATAGACCACACAGACCTCACAGACCTCACATACCTCACAGTTCTCACAGTCCTTTACCTTGGCTCAGTGTCACATAGCAACACGTGACAAACAATCTGCATAAAATATATTCTAAGACAGAACTGAAGAGTTGGGAATATGTTCATTGGAAATAGTTTTATATTGACAGACTTAGGATGTGTCTACGCAGGTGTCACGGTTTCGGCCGAGGCTGCTCATTCTCCTTGTTCGGGCAGGCTTCGGCGGTCGTCGTCTCCGGAGTACTAGCTGCCACCGTTCGATGTTTGTTTGGTTTTGTCTGTTTTGTTACACCTGTTCCTTGTTAGTGTTAATTATGCGTCCTATAAGTTCTCTTGGGTTTTGTTGTGTGTAATTGTTCGTTGTCATTTTGGGATGCTAGTTCGTTTATCTCTCTGTATTGTTTTTGAAGAGAGTTCCGCACAGTGTGTGCCTTTTGTTTGTACTATACCGGTGTGCGTAAAGTTCACTTGCCTGCCAGGTTGTATTTAGCCGTGTTTGGCTTGTTCTTTTTGTCTTCACTAAAGACGTTAGTACGAAGCCTCTGTGTGTCCTGCGCTTGATTCCACACCACATCTACACTCAACCTTGACAGAATTACACACCATTCACCATGGAATCAGCAGGAGCAGCCGCACCTACCGAGGTTATTGAGGAGCGCCTTCGTGGACAGGAGGACAGGATCAACCAGATCGGGCACGCTCTGGATAGAGTGATGAACACCCTCCATCGATGGGAGACCAGCGGGGTACCCACGCCCCCACCTACCGCACCATCACCATCGGTCAGCCCGCCTGTCCAACTTCCGGAACCCAGTGGGATTCGGCTCTCGCTCCCGAGGGCGTACGACGGCACCGCTGCCGGGTGTCAGGGTTTCCTGTTGCAAGTCGAACTCTACCTCGCCACCATACACCCGGCGCCCTCGGGACACGAGAGCGTTTCCGCCCTCATCTCCTGTCTCACCGGCAAGGCGTTGGAGTGGGCCAACGCCGAATGGAGGAGGATAGACGCCGCAACGATCACCTATGCAGAGTTCTCCCGCCGCTTCCGGGCAGTGTTCGACCATCCACCTGAGGGGAAGGCGGCGGGGGAGCGTCTATTCTACCTCCGGCAGGGGATGAGGAGCGCTCAAGAGTTTGCACTGGAGTTCCGGACTCTAGCGGCAGATGCAGGGTGGAATGAGCGGGCCCTCATAGATCACTTCCGCTGCAGCCTCCGGCAGGACGTCCGTAGAGAGTGCAGGGACACCACTCTTACGTTTGACCAATTGGTTGACATGGCCATTCGGCTAGACACCCTGCTCGCCACCCGCGGACGTCCTGGGTGGGGGTCGCCCATTCCACCCTCCAGCACCTCCGAGCCGAGTCCCATGGAGCTCGGGGGTGCTGGCGCTAGAGAACGGAGGAGAAGGAGCCCGAGGGGGGCCGTCCCCTGCACCAACTGTGGCCGTGGAGGGCACACCGCGGCTAGGTGCTGGGGAGGGTCTCCTGGAGGACGAGACGGCAGGCCACACATTGGGAGTCCTCCCAGGTGAGTAGGCGCCCCACTTACCCAGAGCTTTCTGTCGTGCACATAACCATACCTGTTTGTTTTTCACAGGTTGCACCTTGTTCCCAGCATAAGGCGCTAGTAGATTCAGGCGCAGCTGGGAATTTTGTAGATCGTACATTTTGTATAGAATTAGGGATCCTTCTCCTTCCGGTTAATAATCCCTTCCCTGTACATGCCCTAGATAGCCGTCCGTTAGGATCCGGGTTGATTAGGGAGGTCAAAATGCCACTTAGGATGGAGACGCAGGGGGGTCATGAGGAGACAATTCAGCTATATCTGATCGACTCTCCTGCGTATCCGGTGGTGCTGGGGCTTCCCTGGTTGATTACTCATGATCCTACCATTTTGTGGCGAGAGAGGGCTCTTAAGGGGTGGTCTGCCCAGTGTGTGGGGCTATGTCTGGGTGTTTCCGTAGGGGCGACCTCGGTGGAGAGTCCAAACCAAATGCCCGCAATGCACGTTCCCCCCGAGTATGAGGATTTAGCACTCGTGTTTAGCAAGGCGAGGGCGGCGCGATTGCCACCTCATAGACAGGGGGATTGTGCGATAGACCTCCAGGCAGGAGCTGCGCTCCCCCGGAGCCATGTGTATCCTTTGTCACAAGAGGAGAAGAGGGCGATGGAGACATACATTGCCGAGTCTCTGAGACAGGGATACATACGGCCCTCCACTTCCCCTGCGTCCTCAAGCTTCTTTTTTGTGAAGAAAAAGGATGGAGGTTTACGCCCGTGTATTGATTACCGCGGTCTCAATTAGATTACTGTGAAATATAGTTATCCACTCCCTCTGATTGCGACTATGACGGAGTCATTACACGGGGCACGGTTCTTCACAAAATTGGACCTCAGGAGCGCATTAGAGAGGGCGATGAATGGAAGACAGCATTTAGTACTACCTCGGGTCATTACGAGTATCTCGTCATGCCATACGGGTTAATGAATGCTCCATCAGTCTTCCAATCCTTTGTGGATGAGATTTTCCGGGACATGCAGGGGCAGGGAGTGGTCGTGTACATAGACGATATTCTGGTGTACAGTTCTACCTGAGCCGAGCATGTAGCCCTGGTGCGCCGAGTGTTGAGGAGGCTGTTGGAGCATGACCTGTATGTCAAGGCAGAGAAATGTCTGTTCTTCCAGGAGTCGGTCTCCTTCTTGGGTTATCAGTTGTCCGCGTCAGGGGTGAAGATGGAGGTTGACCGTGTGTCAGCCGTGCGTAATTGGCAAACCCCAACCATGGTTAAAGAGGTGCAGCAGTTCTTGGGCTTTGCGAATTACTACCGTAGGTTTATCCGGGGTTTTGGACAGGTGGCAGCTCCCATAACGTCCCTTCTGAAGGGGGGTCCGGTGCGCTTGCGGTGGTCAGCTGAGGCGAACAGGGCTTTTGGGAGACTGAAGGACCTGGCGCATCCGGATACCGCTTTTCCATTCCAAGTGGAGGTGGACGCGTCAGAAGCCGGTATCGGGGCCGTTCTCTCGCAACGGTCCGGCACACCACCTAAACTCCGCCCCTGTGCTTTTTACTCGAAAAAGCTCAGTCTGGCGGAGCGAAATTATGACGTAGGGGACAGGGAGCTGTTAGCCGTGGTACAGGCCCTAAAGGTGTGGAGGCATTGGCTTGAGGGGGCTCAACACCCTTTTCTCATTTTGACTGACCACCGTAACCTGGAATACATTCGGGCAGCTAGGAGACTAAATCCTCGCCAGGCTCGGTGGACTATGTTTCTAGCCCGGTTCGTGTTTAAGATCACTTACATCCCTGGGTCCCAGAACGGAAAGGCAGACGCCCTGTCTCGGCGGTATGACACAGAGGAGAGGTCCGTTGAGCCCACTCCCATACTACCGAAGACTTGTCTGGTGGCACCGGTGGTGTGGGAGGTCGATACGGAGATCGAGCGGGCGTTACGCACCGACCCTAGCCCTCCACAGTGTCCGGTGGGTCGGACGTACGTTCCGCTCGAGGTTCGGGATCGACTAATTTATTGGGCTCACACGTCACCCTCCTCTGGGCATCCAGGTATTGGCCGGACAGTGCACTGCCTTAGCACAAAGTACTGGTGGCCAACGTTAGCCAGGGATGTGAGGGTTTATGTCTCCTCCTGCTCGGTGTGTGCCCAGTGTAAGGCGCCCAGACACTTGCCCAGGGGTAAGTTACAACCCCTGCCCGTTCCACAACGACCCTGGTCTCACCTCTCGGTGGATTTTGTTACAGACCTTCCCCCCTCACAGGGGAATACCACCATCCTGGTCGTTGTGGATCGGTTCTCGAAGGCCTGTCGTCTCCTTCCCATGCCGGGTCTTCCTACTGCCCTACAGACCGCTGAGGCACTATTCACCCACGTCTTCCGGCATTACGGGGTACCCGAGGATATAGTGTCTGATCGAGGCCCCCAGTTTACCTCCAGAGTCTGGAGAGCGTTCATGGAGCGTTTGGGGGTTTCGGTGAGCCTTACCTCGGGTTACCACCCGGAGAGCAATGGGCAGGTCGAACGTGTAAACCAGGATGTGGGTAGGTTTCTGAGGTCGTATTGCCAGGGCCGGCCGGAGGAGTGGGCGAGGTATGTTCCCTGGGCCGAGATGGCACAGAACTCTCTCCGCCACTCCTCCACTAAACTAACTCCTTTCCAGTGTGTGTTAGGGTACCAGCCGGCTCTGGCACCTTGGCATCAGAGCCAGATCGAGGCTCCTGCGGTGGATGAGTGGGTGCGGTGCTCGGAGGAGACGTGGAACGCTGCACACGTCCATCTGCAGCGGGCCATCCGTCGACATAAGACGAGCGCCGATCTCCACCGCAGTGAGGGGCCGGTGTACACACCGGGAGATCGAGTCTGGCTCTCGACCAGAAACCTGCCCCTCCGCCTGCCCTGCCGGAAGCTGGGTCGGCGGTTTGTGGGGCCTTTTAAAGTCCTGAGGAGATTGAACGAGGTGTGTTACAGGTTACAACTGCCAATTGATTACAAGAATATTAACCCCTCGTTCCATGTGTCTCTCCTCAGGCCGGTGGTAGCTGGTCCACTCCAGGACTATGAGATAGAAGAGACTCCTCCGCCCCCGCTGGACATCGAGGGGGCTCCGGCGTACACTGTTCGGTCCATCCTGGATTCGAGACGCCGGATGGGGGGTCTCCAATATCTCGTGGAGTGGGAGGGGTACGGCCCGGAGTAGCGGTGCTGGGTGCCGAGGAGGGACATCCTAGACCCGTCTCTTCTGACCGAGTTCCATCGTGGTCATCCCACGCGCCCTGCTCCGCGTCTTCCTGGTCGTCCTCGAGGCCGGGGGTACTGTCACGGTTTCGGCCGAGGCTGCTCCTTCTCCTTGTTCGGGCAGGCTTCGGCGGTCGTCGTCTCCGGAGTACTAGCTGCCACCATTCTATGTTTCGATGTTTGTTTGGTTTTGTCTGTTTTGTTACACCTGTTCCTTGTTAGTGTTAATTATGCATCCTATAAGTTCTCTTGGGTTTTGTCATGTGTTGTGTGTAATTGTTCGTTGTCATTTTGGGATGCTAGTTCGTTTATCTCTCTGTATTGTTTTTGAAGAGAGTTCCGCACAGTGTGTGCCTTTTGTTTGTACTATACCGGTGTGCGTAAAGTTCACTTGCCTGCCAGGTTGTATTTAGCCGTGTTTGGCTTGTTCTTTTTGTCTTCACTAAAGACGTTAGTACGAAGCCTCTGTGTGTCCTGCGCTTGATTCCACACCACATCTACACTCAACCTTGACAGCAGGCAGCCCAATTCTGGTCTTTTGCAACTAATTGGTCTTTTGACCAATCAGATCAGATCTTTTGCCCATAATTGGTCAAAAGATCAGAATTGGGATGCCTGTGTAAAGACAGCCTTAGAGTACAGTAGATTTTGACTAGACAGGAGTACGGAGAGTGAGGCTAGCATATTTTACCTGCTTCCTGGCCTTGATGCGCTTGTAGGCAAAGTCCGGGAAGGGGGTGCATGGGATGAAGCGACCGACCCCGGAGATGGCATGCAGGTTCCCATCCTCCAGCACCAGCTTCCCCTGGCAAATCACCACCGAGGGGGCACCACGGAGCTCCATGCCCTCAAACACGTTGTACTCAGCAGCCTGGAAAACGCACAAACAGACACAAACACAGATGCACACACGCACACACACGGATGCAAGCATACATGCACACACAGACAAACACACACATGTTATATTTCAACTTGATATTGTATGTCTATGATCAGTGATGTTAGGCCAACAAAAGAGAGGACAAAATCACAACAACAAAAAACTATAGATTTCTCAAGCCTGCTTTCCCCCCTGTTGCACCCCAGTTAGTTTGTTATTCTGTCGTTCCTTACTGTAGAGACAACCTAACTTTAGCCATTCACAAGCACAACCCAGTAATACAAATGATGAGCAGCTGCAGGACCTCTCTCTCAGGGGTTACCAAACTGAGGAAATGACAGTACAGCGGTGCAGAAGCAACACGCTCCAACGTAAACGCAACTATTTCCAGTTTTCTGCAGTCTGACATTAGTCACTCGTCTGACACAAATGGAGCCGGAGAGTTTACATGAGTTTACTTCAGTGTGTCTTTGTGGACTGAGATGGTCAAGTATGGCAAAATAAACAAGGACTCTGAAACGCATGACCTCATGGCTACTCACCAAAGACTGTCTGTGATTCACATTATGAGCCGACAGGCTAATTCAGACAGAGACGGCAAATTCCACTAAAGCTAATCAGATTTGGATGTATTGCTCATTAAACTGGTTTGACGAGAGGGCATTCTATGTGTTGTGTTGAGACAGAGAGCCTATTGAGGCAGAGCTGAGTGGAGTCACGGACACACAGGCCCAGTTTGGCTGGGGGACGGCTGGTCAGGCAGGCAGGCCGTCTCTGTAGAGATGAGACCATGGTTCTGCCTTAATTAACAACATCTGTGCGTGACGAGAGAGAAATAACCCTCCTCCTCCTCCTCTTCATTCCTCATCATCCAGTCGGCCTGTTTCTCATACGCCTCTTTTTGGCATGCAAAGACAAACAGCTGCCATCGCACATCTGGGGCTAATGAATCCAAGCATCACTCTCTCTACCCTTTCTCTCTCTCTCTCTCTCTCTCACACACTTTCTCTCTCTCTCCTTCTCTCTCTCCCACTTTCTTCCTACTCTCTTTCACTCTCGCTCTATTCTCCTGCCACTAAACTCTCTTCTTCCATCTATCGTTCTGTCTCTCCCTGTTGTCTGTTTGTTCCTGTGCACATGGCCCTGGTGTTTTAGAGTGTTCCAGATTCATGCCAGGACAGGACATAAGGCCTGCCAAGTATAATGTCATGGCCCGGCCCTCTGTGCAACAACATAAACAAAACTAACCAGATCAAAAAGTTTCAGATAACAGGGGATACTTGTACTTACTAAGGAGGGAGGGATACACAGATAGAATGGAATAAAGCACTGAACTACTGTGTACAATAGATCACTGTAGACATTATTAACATGGACAGGAGCCCCTGTTCTTGTGTTCCGTGTTCTTGTGTGCTGTTCTGTTGTCTGGAGGGGCTACAAGCAGGAAATGAGAAGGTGACATCATTCTGTAAGAACCTTGGGTCTCACTGTATCTTTTCTACAAATGGAAAAGCCACTGAAAACGTGTCCAATCTTTTTCCAGCTCTTTCTTTCTCTCCCTCTATTTTTCGTTCTCTCTCTCTCTGTGTTTCTGTCTTTTCACACCTCTTCATCGTACTCCGCTGCTTTTCTCTTAGGTCTGTCTCTCGTTCCCTCACTCTCTGTGCCTGCAGCAGGAAGTGCAGAAGGCTTGATTTCCTGAGCAGACACATCCTCTGTTTAACCCTGTACTGCACTGTATGCTCTGGGCTCCTGTGTGACCCACGCATCACTTCCTGTCCTTGTGATTAGGGACGAGGGACAAGAGAGATGAGCTCTTTTGCTGCTGAACAACGCACAGTGGTGGCTGCTCACAGCAATGGAGAGCATGGTTAGCTAACATAAAACCATCTCAAACCCAATTATTTGGAAAATGAATTTGATTTTTTCCCCCAAACATAGTGAACGAGTATTGCCTTTGAGAGGAGGTATGGCTAATAAAAAGGGCTAAACTCATTGTTTTGTTTTCTTACAACAGTAGCAAGTGTTTTGCATTTTTCAAATCAAGAGCAGACTTTTACATTTTAGACATTTAGCAGACGCTCTTATCCAGAGCAACTAGTGTTAAGTGCCTTGCTCAAGTGCATATCAACAGATGTTTCACTCTCTCTCCTCAGCTGCATTCATCAACCACTGCATTCTAAGAGGTCTCTCTCCAGCAGCAGTAATGGCCGATAGTGAGGGCCAATGGAGTGTGCTCTATTAGTTGTGGACGTCTACAGGGAGTTCATTTCCGTTAGGAGGAACTGAACTGTCACTGGAAGCAGGCCAGCGCTGATCTCTCTCTCTCTCTCTCTCTCTCTCTCTCTCTCTCTCTCTCTCTCTCTCTCTCTCTCTCTCTCTCTCTCTCTCTCTCTCTCTCTCTCTCCTCTCTCTCTCTCTCTCTCTCTCTCTCTCTCTCTCTCGCTCTCTCGCTCTCTCTCTCTCGCTCTCTCACACTCCTTTGGAAAACCATGTTTCCTTTGCAGCTACACAGATCTCAGACCAGAACTGAATGTCCACAATTACCACCAGCCAGAGCTCACCAGGCCTGCTATAATGTGTGTCAGAACATCTGTGGTAGTAGAAGTCAAAGACACTCATCCTCCATGTCCTGTTAAACCACAGTGACCTGAATGTCCTTGATGAGTGCTGACTGCTACGATGAAATGTGAAATGGACTTTAAGCTCTTTAAACTTTGTGGCTGAAATGTTGGCTATATGAGGGACTACTCAACTTTGGTGTATTCAGTCCCTTGCATTCAGTGTACCCCCCTATGTATTTGCCTATGTAGTCCCTGTCAATTGTCAATGTAAGTTTTTATGTATTTGACAGATGTTGCAAAACCACTTTCCCTCTGGGACTGTAAAGTTTAAACTTTAACGTGAACTTTATTCACCCCTAACCTTTGACCTCTTACCGAGTTGTGCGTCTTGGCAGTGATGGTGCGGACAGTGTCCGAGTCCCAGATGACCAGGTCGGCGTCGGAGCCCACGGCTATCCGGCCCTTACGGGGGTACAGGTTCAGGATCTTGGCGGCGTTGGTGCTCGTCACGGCAACAAACATGTTCTCGTCCATCTTGCCGGTGGTCTGAGTGAGCAGGAAAAAATGCTAACGGTGAAGTGCTAGCTAAACAAAGATACTTTTGCAGCTGACTGGTGGGTGGAGGCACTCCTGTAGTCTCACGCAAGAACACACGCACACACACACACACACACACACACACACACACACACACACACACACACACACACACACACACACACACAAATATGCTAGTGCTGAGACCATGTGTTTTTGCCTGAAGGGAGACTTAAGTGTGAATAATTCATCTGAATTTCAGAGGCAAAGCTGCACCACAATTCATTACACAGCAGTCCAAAACTACAAACCAAACCAAAGAAAAAAAAGAAGAGATCTATACTGTTCTAAGCAGGGTAAACGGCTGGGGGGACAGATCCAGAGATAGATAGAGAGAGAGAAGAACTCATAGAAACACAAAACCACACTACCAGATGGATTAGGGAAGAGGAGACAGGAGAAACTGCAGTGAACTGTGGAGACAGTGCAGCATGAACAAGGAGTGGGGTACTTAGAGAGTAGCTAAGAGGGTTAGAGGGAGCAAGGTAAAGAAAGGGTCCGTGAAAGGTAGTGGAGCTAATGGCACTCTATTCCCTATATTGTGCACTACTTTTGGTGAGAGCTATATGGGCCCTATAAAGGGAATGCCATTTGAGACGCAGCCAAAGAAAGAGAGAGATAGAAATATGTCATGCAGATAGTTGTACATCCATCCTCTCATCCTCACCACAGCCTTGTCCCAGATGAGGGACATCCTCTCCTCCACTCCGTTCACGCCCTCAGGGATCTGAGTGAAGTCATCCTTCCCTATGGCCTTCTGGGCCACGCTGAAGGTGCAGTGGGCACTGCCAGTCACGTTCAGGTCACCACTGGGAGGGAGGGAGGAGGGGGGGAGGAGAGGTAGAGAGTGAGATAGAGAGAGAGAGAGAGATAGTCATTAGCGATCTCTCCGACTGAGCTCTTCTTAGCATATCGCGTCTCTCTCTCGCTCTCTCTCTCTCCGCTCTCTCTCTTCTCCTTCCTTCTGCTTCCTGCCTCTCCTGACTTTTCGGCGCTGAGAGAGTTCCATTTTAGCAAGGGCTGTGCTGCTGAAAAATGCTAGATACAGTAGTAAGAAATATGTCACGATGCAAACACAACAGTGACACAAACGGCAGCAGATTCAATTATTAAAAAGTATTCCAGAGTAAATTCAGAAGGACGCTTCAGAACTGTAAGATTGACTTTACTTAATAGAGGTGTTTCTGAGCACTTATGTTTATTCGATATATAAAATCTGGAAAAGTTCACAATTAGCTGGAGTAGCACAGACAAAGTAGATGGATTACTCTGAGTCAAGTGCCAAGGTCTCCTCTTACCAGTTATTGATGTCTTCCCTTTCTTACAGAGCACTCTAACTTTCCTAGCAGACAAACAGACCCACTTGTGCAACCATCAGACTATCTATCATGAGATTGGAAGCGCCTCCAGAACTCTATCAACTTGTTTGCACCCTTCGATGGATAAAGTCATAGAGCACATACAGGACAGATGCAGCGTGGACAGGAGAGGTCAGTGGAGTGTTATTCAGTCAATAGGGGGCGCTCTTTACCTGGCCAGTAACGTGTTCAGGTAGTCTGGGGTGGTGGGGTCCGGGCTGAGGGGGGGTGATGTCACAAAGGAGGCGGCCTTGGCCCAGTTCTTGCTCCAATAGTGTGTCCCGTCAGTCCCAAGGCTGGCCGTGATTGGCTCGCCGAACACAACGTTACCTGGGGAAAAGTTGTTGTCACCCAGGGTGAGAATACATCAAATCAACTCACCTTATCCTCCAAAACATATGAATTAAAGGGAGAATCTAATCTAACTAACAGTTCTGGGGAAAGAGCTGAAATAGCTTGTAGTAAATATCTGATGTTCTCCAAGCCTTGCCTCGTGTTTCTCTTTCCTGGGGTTATTTGCGAGTCTCTCTCTCTCTCTCTCTGGGCTCTGACATGACGAATCTGATGTCAGCACTGAGGAACAGGTTCCAGCCAGTGATGAAAGCAAGGCCTCCTGGGAGCACATCTCCACGCCAGGCGACCCTCACATGCTTCCAACATGAGGACATGCAAACAGCATTTTTTCCTCCCTGCTTCTTCATCAAAAAGTGTACGTCTTTCTCTCCATCACGTACAAGAGGCCTGCTCTCTCTCCCTGCTCCTCTGTGATGAATAGCAGAGACAGGTTTCTGACTGTTTGCTACGGTGAACCCCAGGTAATAAGTTAGGGATTCTTCTCAAAACGGGCCTTCTTCTATCCAGTGTGTCTACTAGACCAGACCAGACCTATCGTGTAAATCTGGAGGATGAACCAAGACACCACAATCAGCACATAAGGGCATAGGTGCATTCCTATCATCTGACAGAATAGAAGAGTTTAAGGAAGCAGCAGCGAAGTTACACTAAGAGGTGAGGACAACCTTGAACTACCATCAAGGCCCATGCAGGCCCAAGGACATACTGTAGTTCTTGTGTTCTGATATGATGGATATTGTTTCTAGGCATTCATTGTGACTTTCAAATATATAATTCAGCTGCCTGAGTGACATGCTAATTACAGCATAATGCCAGTCAGCCACACTGTGAACCTGTGTACCTTTCTTCCTGGCCTGTGAGATGATGTCGGCAGCACTCTTGCTCATGACCCTGGTCACATACAGGGGGCAGTTGGTCTGGCTGGCAATGGTGATGGCACGGAACACAGCCTCTGCCTCCAGCTAGATGGGGGAATCGACAGATACAGTGACACACACGCATGCACGCAGGCAGACAGACGGACACAGACAGACAGGCAGATGGACAGACAGGCAGACAGGCAGGCAGGCAGGCAGGCAGACAGGCAGGCAGGCAGGCAGGCAGACAGACAGAGAGAGACATATAGAACAATCAATTAGTATATGAACAGATTCAACTAACCCTGGACTGGCAACCTCACCTACTGCCAGTGGACTTGTGTTCTGCTGTAACCCAGTCTAGAAATGCTCACTGATGCAATGCCAGCTTTGATATGGGACCAAGCTCCACTCTGTTAGTGGTGCTGCAGTATCACATTGTTTTGTTTGTTCCAATAACTACAATTGGGAGAATTACCAGAGTGCATTTAAAATGTTTTACTGTTGGTCCGTATTTGTCGGCAAACAGATGTGTGCAAATGTGCATGCATACCTTACTGATTCCACAAAATTCAGCTGACACACACACACACACACACACACACACACAGACACACACACAGACACACACACAGACAGACACACACACAGACAGACATATTGGGTATAGTGTCCCACCTCCTCTGGCCTGCTCAGCACGTGTCCCTCTGGTCCAGTGATTCCCATCTCCAGCATGCGTGCCTGCTCCTGTGGGACAGACAGACAGCAGAACCGTGTTCATCCGAATTCACCCCAGCCTCTAGCACACACTCACACACACACCAGCACCCCAAACAGACATATGGCAGTATCGAACCCTGCATCAATAACACATTGCATGGAGAGATGCCCGGGCTGCGAGAGAGTGGTGAGTGGTTAACTGTTGTTTGGAGGTTTTCACCCTCATATTCACCCATGACAGCTTTGGGGTAACATTGGGACATGATACTGGGGCTCAGACAGCGAGGAAGCAGGCTTTACAGTCCGGCCAGACAGATCCCAGAAACCCTAACTCTCTGAGGGAATCCAAACCAGCTATTAAGGCTCACCCAGCTCCCTCCCAGGACTGCATCCACACATTACTGTCAGTGTCCTGCACTAACCCCTCTAAACCTCACCCTTTCCCTTTCCTTCTGATACAGTATCTATGGGAGTCTGTTTAGTCTGGGGGAACAGGACAATGTATGACTGGATGGTGATGCACTGTGATAAAGGTCAAAGGTTGAGCCAGGGAGGAGAGAGGAGGGGGTGGGTGGTTGTTGTGACAGGTGGGTTACCTCGGCGATGATCTCGCCATTCTCAGCATGGACCTGCACAATGCCACCCATCTCTCCCAGGAAGGTAAAGATCTCATACAGCTGTAGAGACACATTCATAGAACATAGTAGAAACATGAATAGAACATAGTAGAAACATGAATAGAACATAAATAGAACATAGTAGAAACATGAATAGAACATAGTAGAAACATGAATAGAACATAGTAGAAACATAAATAGAAAATAGTAGACACATGAATAGAACATAGTAGACACATTAATATAACACAATAAAGTGAAAGGTCGCAGTCCACCCACATCAGACCACACATAGGAAGCCACACGATGTCTGCTATAATAAACGACCAATTACGGGGTGGTCACCAAACATGACTAAACTAGTCTTGCGTGGGCTGCTCCAGTTTAAAATAGTCTAGCATTACCACAGTGCCTCCATATAGGCCTCATGATTTGCAGACATGGTCATTTTTTCCATTGATTACAGTTTGGCGGGACTGTACTTCACGTGCTTGCCAAGCCGAGCCGAGCAGTGCTCACCAACATGGTGTTGCTCTAGGCTAGCTAGAATACTATACCTCACTGTTGCTCATCTGGTAGAAGTCCTTATAGGCCATGTAGACCGGGAAGGAGTTCACACCTAGAAGAGAAAGAGAGAGAGAAGAGAGAGGAGAAGAGAGAGAGAGATGAGAGAGAGAGCGAGAAAGAGAGAGAGAAGAGAGAGAGAGAGATAGATATAGCGCCGCAGAGACAGACTAAGATATATCTAGAGATAGATATAGCTAAGAGATAGATATAAGATATACCTCGATACAGTCCCGTTGAGAATGCATTTTATTAGTTCAGGGAGCCCACAGATGATTCCTCATCAGGCCTGTCTCCTTTCATCTAAAGTGACTGGAGTTTAGGGCCTGACTATCATTACCAGAAAATGATCACTGAATTATCATAGTGAATTATTGTAATGTTTGTTTATGTGTCAATTCATCCTTTAAGGGATGGGTTGCCAACTGGCGATTTGACACGAAAATAAAATGTCATGCATTGATTCACCAAGAGGCCTGTCTTCTGCTCTCTGGACATTGTGGATGTGCTGGAGTGGCCTTACGGGCCTGTCAACTCTGTCCTGTGGCTGAGTTATCTAACTGGGCGTGAAACCACAGAGGGTCCCCTCAGCCCTCAGAGCACCACACCCTCCTGCAGATGGACAGTGGTGTTTGGGTTTGGCCAGGTATGGACCACAGATCCTGGGAGTGGACTGGACGCCAGGACCAGGATGCCTGTGGCTGGGGGACGGACTGAGATTATGGGCCAGAGACAGGAGGAGGAGGAGGAGGAGGAAGCCACCACCGCTGATCGCTTTTCATAGCTTCTGCCAGTAGTAGTCAGCTAATCATGCCTACCCGGACTATTTGCACTGCCCCCCCACCCCATCTTTTTACGCTGCTGCTACTCTGTTCATTATTTATGCATAGTCACTTTAACTCTACCCACATGTACATATTACTTCAACTACCTCAACTAGCCGGTGCCCCCGCACATTGACTCTGCACCGGTACCCCCCTGTATATATAGCCTCCCTACTGTTATTTTATTTTACTTCTGCTCTTTTTTTCTCAACACTTTTTTGTTGTTTTATTCTACTTTTTTATTAAAAATAAATGCACTGTTGGTTAAGGGCTGTAAGTAAGCATTTCACTGTAATGTCTGCACCTGTTGTATTCGGCGCATGTGGCCAATCCAATTTGATTTGATTTGATTTGATTTAGTAACTCTGCTCATCTTGATTAGGTATAATAGCGCTGTCTGCCTGCCTTTCTGTCTGTCCATCCATCCACCCGTACGTCCGTCTGTCTGCTAGGCCTGTAAACCCTCACTGTGCAGCAGCACTGAGGGACTTTCTCTAAGGAGGGTTAACTCTTTGTCTGGATCCAAATAGGATTCCCAATGATCCTCTCAATCCAATTTATATTCAGACTGACAGATATTTGTGATGAACAGTACCCTGCCTAACCCTTTGGTAGTGGATGATGTCCTCCCAAAAGGAGACTGAAAGCAAATCCCTTGTGGTGTTAAGCTGCTCATTAAACCTGTCTTCTCCGTGACAGTTGTTGTCTACTACCCTGCGGGACGCTGTCATTCCAGTGGGTGATGTGCCACAATGAGAGTATTCCCACACAGGTCCGATCTCGCAGCCCAGCTCCTCCACGAACTGCGCAAATGGCCTCGAGCAGAACTTGGCTGCCCAGCCTGGGATCACAATGGTCCACTTTAAGGGCAGGCAGGGAGGAAAGGAAAGAGAGAGAGAGAGAGAGAGAGAGAGAGAGAGAGAGAGTAAGAAAGAGAGAGAGAGATGAGAGATCAAGAGAGAGCGGATAGAGAGGAGAGCGAGATAGAGGAGAGATAGCCTGAAAACGCCTCCGCTAGATCAGAGCTCTCTATCTCTATCTGCTCTAGAGAGCGTCTCGATCTCTATCACTCTTCAATCACTAGAGTTCAGAGAGAGAGAGGATGTTACTTGTGTTGCTTGTCCTGTTTGTGTTATATAACTCACAATGCCCGTGTCTCTGTGTCTCCTTTGCCAGTGGCTTTCAATACAATGTCAGATGTCAATGGAAATGTCTGAGTGTGTGCTTGGGTTACATCGACCTCACTGTTCATTTTGGTGTGAGGCTAATCGAAAATCAGCTCAAGAGATAAAGAGAAATGCCCCCTAGTCTCTGATGTAATATGTCCGCTTGCTGCCCTGACCACCTGACCACTTCCTGATCCAATTAAAGACCGCCCAATCTCCCCAGATCCCTCTGTGCATGTTAATGCGATCTCGAGTCAGCGGTAACCAAGAAAAGATCTGTTGTTTACTATGTTGACTCTGACTGAGGCTTTGTCGCTTGTAACTCGCAAAGACGTGAATGGGGGGATGAATAGGCTAATGCAGTAAACGAGTGTGCTGGAGGCAGTTCTTCCTTCACAGGGCTACAGACACCAGACAGTTCAGTACCAGTGGATCATAGTGAGGCATTCCTATCTACCAGCTGTTCCATCTGTGTGTTCGGCCCATTTTTTGGGCTTGGGCTGGGGTGCCTCACACACAGCTCGCCTATTTCCACGGGACTTGTGTTTCACTGTGTTCGCCCCCATCGCCCCTCCTCGTTCCCCCACCCTCCCTACGGCCCTTTGTGTGGTCCCCTGGACTGCTGCCCACACTAGCTGATTTAGGAGAGCTCCATTGTAGCCAGAGCACCTCTCTCCTCTCCCTCTCTCTCTCTCTCTCTCTATCACTCTCTCTTGTGCTCTGGCTCTCTTTCTTTCTTTCTTTCTCTCTCTTTATCTCTCTCTCTCTTCCTCAATGGATAAAGCCGCCACATGGCTGCCCCCTCACAATCTACACTGTGTTTTGTCTACAATCTCAGACCGCCACAGCCAAGTAGTGTGGATTATAATCTTCCCTCAATTTTCAACTATAATCAGATCATCACCACAGACATACAGTAAACCAGTACGATTCAGACTTTCTCTCTAAATGGATAAATTGCCCTACTGAATATGGATGTAATTGATATAGGAGTCTTTCCATGTCATGAGGGTAGTGAACTACAACAACCCCTCCTATTGGGCCCTTGCAGTCTGTTATTGTGATACCCTCAGACCTCCCACCCACCTCCCCCCAGTGAGAGACATGCTCCATGGCTCCCTTCCTTCCCCCTTACCGATCATGGTGGTTCCCCCAGCCAGGGCAGCCTTGGAGCCCTGGGAGAAGTCATCTACGGTGGTTGTGCCCCGGTAGGGCATCTGGAAGTGGGTGTGGATGTCAATGCCACCGGGGATCACCATCTTGCCGTTGGCCTCGACAGTCTTGATCCCTCCTGGGACGATCAAGTTGTCTCCAATCTGCCTGGAGGTTTAGAAGGGAGAAAAGCCATGTCAGGACAGGGGTATCATCGAGTTGACACAATACTGTACATTAATGATATGAATAGCTAAATAGCTCATGAATAAACTGAAATGAATATATTATCATATCATAAGAAATGTTGTTTTGCTCATGGCTGGCTGGTGTACAGTAAAGGTAATCAAATGGAAAGTTAGCGGTGACCCAGCAACATTACTAAACTATCAATCCTTACATATTGGATGAAAGTCATTAGAGCATGTCAAATAGCAGCTTGGAGAGCTGCAGTGCAGACAGACAGTCAGATAGACAGACAGACAGAGGAGAGGGCTGCCCGGTCAACGCTAGCCTGGCCTGGCCTGCTTAATTGGTATGCAGCTCTAACCTTCCTGCGGGTGATTTAACTATCAGAGCTCCTCTATGGGAGCACACAGGACAAAGAGCCTAATAGGCTGATTGAGTGGGAACAGGAAAGGGGGGGAAATAATGCCCTTCCAAGAGCAGGGAGGAATGTACTCCCATTGCCTTTCTTCTGGCCCTGCGCACTATGCACTACTATACACTACTATACACTACTATACAGTACTATACACTACTATACACTACTATACACTACTATACAGTACTATACACTACTATACACTACTATACACTACTATACAGTACTATATACTACTATACACTACTATACACTACTATACAGTACTATATACTACTATACAGTACTATACACTACTATACACTACTATGCACTACTATACACTACTATACACTACTATACAGTACTATACACTACTATACACTACTATACAGTACTATATACTACTATACACTACTATACACTACTATACAGTACTATATACTACTATACAGTACTATACACTACTATACACTACTATGCACTACTATACACTACTATACACTACTATGCACTACTATACACTACTATACACTACTATGCACTACTATACACTACTATACACTACTATAAACTACTATACACTACTATGCACTACTATGCACTACTATACACTACTATACACTACTATACACTACTATACACTACTATGCACTACTATGCACTCCTATACACTACTATACACTACTATATACTACTATACACTACTATACACTACTATATATTTTTATGCACTATTATACACTACTATACACTACTATACACTACTATGCACTACTATGCACTACTATACACTACTATGCACTACTATACACTACTATGTACTACTATGCACTACTATACACTACTATGCACTATTATGCACTACTATACACTACTATGCACTACTATGCACTACTATACACTACTATACACTACTATGCACTACTATACACTACTATACACTACTATGCACTACTATGCACTCCTATACACTACTATACACTACTATGCACTACTATACACTACTATACACTACTATACACTACTATGCACTACTATACACTACTATACACTACTATATATTTTTTATGCACTACTATACACTACTATGCACTACTATGCACTACTATACACTACTATACACTACTATGCACTACTATACACTACTATGCACTACTATGCACTACTATACACTAGTATGCACTACTATGCACTACTATGCACTACTATGCACTACTATGCACTACTATACACTACTATACACTACTATGCACTACTATGCACTACTATAAACTACTATACACTATTATGCACTCCTATACACTACTATACACTACTATGCACTACTATACACTACTATACACTACTATACACTACTATGTAAATGCATGGGAGGATATGATGGTCAAGCATTGTGTCTTACTTAATGACGCCATCCTCCATGTAGATGTCAGCATAAAAGGACTGGTCATCATTGACGATCCTCCCGCCTTTGACCAGAAGCCTGTCGCTCTGGAGAGAGAGAAAGAAAGAAGGAGAGGGAGAAAGAAAGGGGTGGGGTTGGAGGGAGGGAGGGAGGGAGGGAGGGAGGGAGGGAGGGGAGGGAGGGAGGGAGGGAGGGAAAGAATGTTAGAAAGTCCAAAGCAATCTCATCAGTATTCCGGCTATTCCGGCGGACACTTCTTTTCTTGGGATGTGTTCTTGTTCTTGCACAAACTCCCATCAACAGCTGGGGTGAAACAAGAGCCATTTGTTTGGAATGTCTGACTCCCCTATCCACACAAGGCAGGGCTAATGAGAATTGCCTGCTACTCACACAGATTACATTGTAACTACACAGTAACCTACATTTTACACACTGCTGGATGGGTGGATGGCCCAGTAGTCACATAGATGAGGTTGGACTAAATAGAAGAGTCTAGATAACATAGCCTGTGAGGCAGGGCGTTGTCGTCTAGCCCCTCAGCTGCTGCGCCAGAGACAGCCACTAGGCCACTAGCGAGCTGTCGCCATGGTAACCCTTTGCTAGGGGCACTCAGAGAGGCTTGAGCTGCGGGCTGGCATGTCTGTTAGAGACACGCCTCACAGGGAACAGGGCATAATGCTGAGCGACAGGGAATGCCATGACACAGAGAGAGAGAGAGAGAGAAGAGAGGAGAGAGCGAGAAAGGAGAGAGAGAGAGAGGAGAGAGGGAGACGATGAGAGGAGATGAGAGAGAGAGAGACGAGAGAAACGAGAGAGAGAGAGAGGAGAGGAGAGAGAGGAGGAGAGAGAGAAGATGAGGAGGAGAGAGAGAGAGAGGAGAGAGAGCGAGAGATGGACAGAGAGAGGAGAGAGAGAGAGAGGAGAGAGAGAGAGAGAGAGAGAGAGAGTTGCTGTAACGTTGACATTAGTGTCACAATACATTGCCTGGGTAGGGCCTCACCTCTTCTCCTAGACTGGTCAGACCATTAGATTCTAAAACTAGACCAGGACATGGAGTTACCTCAACCAAAGTCATGAATAATGTATGTATGGTACCCATTATCCTTTGACACTGTGTAAAATGCCAAGGTTCAGTTCACTGCCTCGTAAGGAAACAGAATGGGAGCGTTCCGGAGTCTCCCGTCAGCACATGGTGTGGTGTGATTTGTGATTTACTATCTTGGCTGTGGAGCTCGGCTGGCACGTCGTCAGTACGAACCCCACCCCTCCCTACTGCTTTAAATGAAGCCATACTGTACTGTAAATCCGTAGCCTTAGTGATGTATCCCCGGCATCTGCACAGCTCACACACCAAACACTGGCTAGTCTTCCAGACAGTGTGTTGGGGATGGGAGGGAGGGGGTCTGATGCTGATTAGGCAGAGAGAGAGTCTTCTGAGCCATGCAGGTCACCCCACCCTGCCAGGAGCAGGCAGCACACTGTGTACAGCACCGAGGCAGACAGAATGACAGCATGTATACAGGGTCACTTACAGAATGGCCTCCACCACCTCCACACTACACAGTCCCCCTAATCCATACCATACCACTACCTTCAGGGGTTTTGGATCTGAGTATGTTTCAGATTGATAGTATATAAGCAGATGGTATTGCATAATAATATTCTCAATATCTCACACAATGCAGCCGGCTAGCCCCTAAGGGGAGAAGCCTGGATATCGTGGCTAGCTAAGGGGTGATGGTTTAGTGACCTAAGGGAAGTGAATGTATCTAACACCAGCCCTAAGAGCATGAGGACGTCATCTCCCTTAAATGATCCCTATATGGTGTCGGATGCATGGTCTAGATGGTCTACTGTGCTGCATAGGTCTCTGGGCTATACTGTGTTGCTGTAAAGACATGCCCACATGCCCCGGGCCTGACTGCAGAGTGTTTGCCTGAACACCCGCCCCCATCTGTCCCTGTCCTACCTCAGGCCTCGGTCCTGTCATCACCAATCAGAGCCAGCATCAAAACTGAAGGCTCACTTTCATCATATCTGACTAACCTTCAACATACTCTACTGCTGTACTTATACCAGCATCTGTATGACCACACTGCAAAATATTATACAGATATATGACTTTCTTTATTACTTCTCAATCATACATCATCATTCGAGATCCTGCCGTAATCATACGGTGTGGCTTTGCTGTTGGACGCTGTGGCAAAACCTCTAATGGTCTCACTTAGCTACATACTAAGCTCAGCCCTTCCACTCACAGGCACAGCAATAGGCCCCAAGCAATAGGCTTCATGTCAGATTTCACAAGCAACAGATGTAGGATCTTAATTTGATTACCCTGTTGCAGGAGAAGTTTCCTGCAATGCAGGAAATGTAAAACGTGTAAAGTATTTGAGGTTTAAAAAGGCTTCTGAAGTTTGTAATTTCCAGTTAGAAATTTCCCTTAAGAAAAATATATACGGTAAAACTTAAATTTAACGCCAAGTCTCAAATAGCTGCCTGTCCGTTTTAATAGCCGGGCAACGACACACATTTCAGCAAATAAATGCCTGTTTCAAATAAATGCTGGGTCTAAATGAATTGTTTACGAGGTTACCATGAATTACCATGAATTGTTTACGAGGTTCAATGTTTCATTTGTTAGATTAAATAATTCAGTAATGACTCTAAGAAATTGTGACAATCATCCGTTTTTATCGCCAGTAAGAAACTGCTAGCCATTGGCTGCTAACAGCTGAGAACTACTAGCTAACTGGCAAGCACAAAAATAGTAAATAACTTCGGGAGTACTGAACCCTAGAAATCTGCCGATTCCCCTCTAGTGGCGAAAGTAAGAACTGCTGAAAATGCACAGTCAAAGAGAAGAATACTTATTGTCAAGGAAAAGTTAGATTTTTTCGAAATAGAGGCATACTAAGAAAAAAAGAAACGTGACACATTGTGTAAATGATAACACAGCGCAATAAATGATTAATTGATTAAAATGCTGGAAGTGAATGCTGGAATTAAACAATTAACTAGGCAAATGAGCAAAAGCTATGCATTAAGGAAATAAACGCCTGGCTCAAATTGAAGCCCCTCTCTAATAAGTGCCTGTTGTGTTCAGTGATTTAAGCAAATAAACGCCTGGGCTATTAATTGAAGTTTTATGGTAAACCCTTACAAAAATGTCCATGAATTATTCTCCACATAATAATTCACATTTTCTGTTGCTGCAGGATTATTTTCCTGCTGTAGCAAACTGGCTCACATATATAGGCTTTTGTCCATCATCTCAATTATTCTGTGGATTAATCCAGCAGAATAAATTCCTATATAAAGAATAATAATAATAATATTAATATTAATAATAATATTAATAAATTACAGAAAGTAAAACGTTTTGGAGGTAATTTTCATCAAAGTTGTGATTTTGTGAACATTCGTGTTTTTATGTGGTGGAACCTTGCTGCGGCTGGAAATGACTGAATGCACTGTTATTTTCATAGAGCAGTGGTCTCCGCTGTGTAAACAATGGTATCTCCAAAGTGATTATAATTATCAGAGAATCAGAATCAGTATGAAACCCCAACCCTCAAATGCATAAATCTGTAGAAATCCCACTGAAAATAATGAGGGAAAAGAAAGACAGTCCGCCATGTTTTTGCAAGACGTTCCTCAACCTTTGTTACAACATAAATATGACAGCACTTAAAAGAGTAAAACGATACTGCAATCTGCGGTGGTTAAACGCTTTGACAGAATTCAGTATTTGCAGTAGTGTTCATATGAGACCAGCCAAAATCCTTGAGGTGTGACTGCACACCATTGGTCTTTGATGGTGGATTTGCAGATGGGTCATGACAGGAATTGTAAAATATTGTTCACGGTTAAACCGCCACCAGTGGAGAGTCCCATCAGTGCAAACACAAGACATTCAGAGCTTACATTTTAGTCATTTAGCAGACGCTCTTATCCAGAGCAACTTACAGTTAGTGAGCGCATACATTATTTGTATTTTTCATACTGGCCTCCCGTGGGAAACGAACCCACAACCCTGGCGTTGCAAACACCATGCTCTACCAACTGAGCTACATCCCTGCCGGCCATTCCCTCCCCTACCCTGGACCAATTGTGCACCGCTCCATGGGTCTCCCGGTCACGGCCGGCTACAACAGAGCCTGGTTTTGAACCAGGATCTCTAGTGGCACAGCTAGCACTGCGATGCAGTGCCTTAGACCACTGTGCCACTCGGGAGGATAAGGATGGAACCAACTGATATGAAAATCATATACATCTGTGTGCTTACTGTATCACTACAGTACTACTAAAATCCCATTCCATGAAAAAAGTTACATGGAAATCAGAGAGAAAACAATATACATACTATATCTAAGGACATTTCTCTCATAACAGTATCTTCCTCACTGAATCATTGTGCATTAAAAATTTTCCAGTTAAAATGTTAACTTACTGTAGCCTACACATCATCTGAAATGTATCATTTTGCCTTCAACAGTAACTGAGATGAGTGTGTGTTGTGTACATGGTTTAGTGCTGTCCACTTTGGTCGACATCAAAGCCCCACCTGATCACTTAGGCTGACCTTGACTAGGTCATGTGCCCTAAGGCCTACCCCCGCCTGTCAATCAACCAGGCTGCAGCCAGTTACAGTAAAGGAGAACAAAAAGAGCTTTAATGGGTAGTATGTCTATGTTTGTGTCCCAAATGGCACTTGTTAAAAGGCCTTGGTCAAAAGTAGTGCTTATAGGGAATAGGGTGAGGTTTGGGACACAAGCAGCCTCTATGTAGAGCCCTTCCACAGCATTGGCCTGGTGTGGCACACAGGGGGCATGTTACAGATCACAGGATTTGGTTAATAGTTTAAGATTACACAAAGTGGAACAATCTGAGGATTATGATTTTGAGACATGCTCGTGATAGAATCTCCTCCTGAGGTCAGAAAGGCCGACAGTAACAGCGATTTGCTGCAATTTGACATTGGAAACAACAGATGTAAGTCCTTGTACACAAGATTGAATTTAAATCGAACTTCAGAAATGATGATGAGGTCAAAAGGGATGAACTTGTATCGAGTCATCCTCTTGACCCAATCCTGGCCCTGGGGACCCAACAGGGTACACATTTTTGTTTTTGCACTAGCACTAACTAACATACCTGATTACACTAATCAAAGGCTTGATGGTGAGTTGATTAATTGAATCAATTGTGTGCTAGGGGAAAAAAATAAAGTGCATTCCGTTGGGTCGCCAGGGCCTGGATTGGGAAATACTGCTCTTGACCATGTTCCAAGCTGTATCTTATCGTGGCAAGGTCTGTTTTTCCAATTGTCAGTCTACTATAGGCAAACAGGAAGCCGGTATTCAGGTGAAAGTTTTCAGAACACGACTCTTTGATGACATTCATGTCATTGTCATGCTTGTACCCAGAACACTAATACAACTACGGAGCTTCCTAAAGGAAACTGGCCCTTTCACTATTATACAAGACAGAAAACACTAAAGACAGTCTAAAGGAAGGACTGTATGCTGTATCGTGAAGGTTTGTGAAGGTTTTGTCACATTGACCAAATTGAGAAGAACACACATTACCGTCAGAGAAGCATTTGCAACAGGCCAGTTCTTGAGGACATCTGCAGAGTTTGACTGGGAACAGTGCTGCCGTGTGTTGTTGCTAACAAGGAAAACACAGCAGCCAAAACACACAGAGCCAAGAGGATATTACAGAGGAGTCCATTAACTGAGACCCTTATCTGTGAGGCAGGCGGGCGGGCAGGCAGGCAGGCCGAGACCAATGGAAAGGGAAAGTTATCCTGATGCATGCGAGCCAGTGCCTCTGCTTCCCTCAGCCTTGTTGCCTAGTGACAAAAATATTTACTATTCGCTCAAAAGCACATCATATTAATTTTTTTCTGTGGAAAAGTCAAAACAATAGGACTTTTCAATCTAAATAAGTTGCCTAGCCACCACATCACAGAGGCTGGTCTCCAGCAGCGTGATCTTGTGATAGGCCAAAGCAGCACGGTTTCTATGGCCGCCCAACACTCAAATCTGGTTCTGATTGGGCCTGCCCACAATCTCCTTCCAGAATCGGAAAATGGCCTCATGTCAGAGGCTAGAGCTAGGGAAACAAGGTTAACCGAGGTGGTATTTTGGTAAACTGTCTCTATGCAGGTCACCATGGAGAGTGGATGGCAATAGCTGGGTGGTCACAGCAGGATGTTTTGATTGCAGTCAGGCCCACTTTGCAGGCAGTGTGGGGATGGAGGGGCCCTGTTTTGAGGTGCCATTTAGAGAAAAAAAATTCTGTGTAAGGCTTGTCAGTCCTGCCCACATATGCAGGTTCCAGCTGGAGGGGATTATTGATGACATGCATGGCACTACAGAGGGCTACTGTGAGGACATGGAAAAAGCATAACCACACCTAGAAATCTGACATGGCCTCTGCTGCTCCCAGACATAGGGAAACAGCTGGAATGTAGGGGGTAGAAATAAATTAGGAAAATCATTCCCAATACAATATATTTCTCAGATTGTCAGGCTATAGCCTACATATAATTGCACTGTAATTAACTGTCTATCAATAATTGTTTAAAGGACTTTAGATTCTCCATTATGTCAAGTTGGTGATTTCACAATTTATTTTGGAGTCAGGCACATATTGTACACATTGTACAGTAGGGTAAAGTCATAGGCCTACAAGACGGCTGATATGTAGAATTGATTATTAAGCATAAAATAGTGCCCCCCAGGGCCAGTACAGCCTGGACTGAATAGCAGGTGTATTACCTTTACAGGCCACACAAAGATGTTCAAAGCCCCCACAAAATAAAACATGTAAAAATATACACACAGAAAACATGCACAAACGGTTCCTAAAACATTATCGTGCGTGCTGATGCTTTACATATGAGAGGACCCCTGCAAACCAGCCGGCATCCACCCCCAATCCGTCAGTGATATCGGACGAGACAAAGGGCGTCTCTCCTGGAATAGAACACCACCCAGAGCAGCAACAATGAACACGCAGCCATTTCAGACAGACCCAGAGCTGTGCTGCAGCAACACCAGCAGCAGCATAAATCCCTGCCACCACGTTGCTTGCAACGATTTAAACTCCAACCCCTTTAGGCACAGCACTGCACCGGCGAATTCTATTACATTATGTTCTAGTGATGCGGAATTCGAAATGCCCCATTTTACGGGCGGGTTATCGCATCTGATCACACATGGGCGTGGGAGATACATTTTTTCTCCCTGCACCAGTCCAGACGCTCATATAGCCTACAGCTGGATAAATACATATTTATTTAACAGAATGGGTGTACAACATGCTTTATTATGATACAATAATGAAAACTAATAGACCATATATTTCCCGATTCACACAGTTATAACTGATTTATTCCTTTGTATTCGTAGTATTTCTTATCATAGGAGGCTGGGTTTTCATAATATTTGGCCCTGTAGGCTACAAAAACGAATCCAAAACGCGATAATGTAGTGTATTATTTATAAAAAATAATGTGATTGCCTACAGCATTTTATCTCTCTTTCCCCAATCGTTCAAGTTGCCACAATTGAGTAAAAAAAGAAAGTTATAACAATAACAGTCCAGTGTGATGATGTAGGTTATTGTATTTATTTTATTATATATCTTGCACATGAGCCACATGCACTGCGCACGGGTACCATGCCATCCTCAACAAAGAAGATGCAAGTTACCTTTAAGAAAACGCCTTGTTCTGTCTCTCCGGCTGTCACTATTGTGGCCAATCATGCCACCTCATTCTGCACTACTTAGCACTGTATTTCATTTCCCACCGGCTATGTTCAATAGACTATCATAATGGAAATGAAAATATTCCACACTGATGAGAAAAGACTGTATGCATCCGCCCATTAATTGCTATTGCCACAGCCCTGAATAGCGGTTACTTAAAAAAGGAAAGACAAAACCAATGCACTGATTTGCAAAAATCAAGCATGCAAGTTTCAAGAATAATTGAGGCAGATATTACTTTCTACTTACTGTGATCTTTGGAATATTCTTTTTGCCTTGATAAGAATGCCCAGACATGATTGCGACTGAAAACGGATTCCACCTCTGAACAAAGCCTTGAAATATTCCCCTCTGGATGCTTCTGCGGCTACAGCCTGGATGGGAAAATTAGGGAATGGTCGCCTCTCTCTGCAATGTAAAGTGCGCTTCGCAGTGAGCTAGAAAGTCTACTACGGTGGACTCCTCCCTCAATACGGTCTAAAGCTGCAATGCTCAAATCATCCCACAAGAGGACGCTCAAAAGCAGGTGTAGGCGACCACTGTCAGCTGGCTACTTTATAGCTGTGTTGTGTAAACTCACTGGTGTGTTCAACATGCTACGCATGCAGCGCTAACAGATCCCAGCAGGCCTACAATGCAATAGTTAATTCACGGCTGAATTGATCATAAGAACAGGTGCGGCCGTGGATAGCCAATGGGCAGAGCATGTAGTTACCACGCGGTAGAGTGGCGTGGGCCTGACAGGTTAGACTACAGCGGTACTGTACCAAAGGAACTGGAGGAGGATACTACTGAAGCTAAGGATGGAGCAGGCTGTCCTATCCGCTTCACCTTTGTAGTCCTATTTCTAAGCTCATCAAGTGACAAATCCACGTTTTTTTTCTAGTAGGTTGGTCTTTTTACTGTAAAGCAACATATGTCAAGGGATCTTTTTTCCAGCTAAAATAAAGTTGAACGGCTCTCAAATAGGCCTACCATTCTTATTATTTTACTGGGAGTGGTCTAGCCTTCAGACCCCATACAAACCATTATCCATACACAATAGAAGACTTCCTGAGTGTATCCACAATCCACCAATCATGTATGATTTATTGTAAAGGCGATGCATGACTTGGCTATTGTGTTTCTTCAGTATCATGTGGTAACTAGGAAAAATGACAGGGTTGTACAGTACAAATGCACAACAACTCTAGCATTTCCCCCTTTTTCCATTTTTTTTTATGGGCTACAAAATACTGAGATGTGGTATTTCAGGGAGAGCTGATATCTGTGTCCATGATCTTGATAATTATTGGGCTAGACTGGTCTGCCTCCTGTTATTATGTAGAAAGAGGGTGAAGCTTGCTGGTTAGTAACAGCTGTCGGCCCCACAGAGCCTGTCACTGTCCACACCCTGCCATGTGTCTCTATTGTCTGGGCCTCAACAGAGCAGACCCCCTTCCCACACCCCTCCTCTCTCCCACCCACCCCATGCCCTAATGCATCCATAAAGAGGTTCTGTGTTTATAAAACAACACTGTGTGTGTTGGTGCGTGTGCATGCGTACATGCATCTGTATGGTGTATGTACCAATTGATTATCATGGGTTTAAAAGGGTCTATGAGTGATGCTGTGTACATTAGTTCAGTAAATAGTTGTAGAATATAAACAAGAAAACAGGAGGAGGAAGTAATTTAGTGAGGAATGATAAGGTGCTCCTAATAGCACACTGTTGACATGTCCTTTCATGGATGTGGACAGACAAGTTATTACTTCAGCATTTTCTATCCCTGGAGAATGCATCAACAAAGCACTTAAAGTTGGCTGAATATTTCCTCTGCAAGCACAGAAGGCACACTGAACGATGCAGATAGAAATGTATGATATTCCCATTAAAATCACAATACAGTAATAGAGAATAATTCTAGTCTTTGATGTTCTGAAAGTAATGCACTAGAGCATATGCTCATAGGCACAGACAGGAAGCTGGGTATCATGTACAGGCCAGCCACAGAGGGGTCTTACAGACAGGAAGCTGGGTATCATGTACAGGCCAGCCACAGAGGGGTATGACAGACAGGAAGCTGGGTATCATGTACAAGCCAGCCACAGAGGGGTCTGACAGACAGGAAGCTGGGTATCATGTACAGGCCAGCCACAGAGGGGTATGACAGACAGGAAGCTGGGTATCATGTACAAGCCAGCCACAGAGGGGTATGATAGACAGGAAGCTGGGTATCATGTACAGGCCAGCCACAGAGGGGTATGACAGACAGGAAGTTGGGTATCATGTACAAGCCAGCCACAGAGGGGTATGACAGACAGGAAGCTGGGTATCATGTACAGGCCAGCCACAGAGGGGTATGACAGACAGGAAGCTGGATATCATGTACAAGCCAGCCACAGAGGGGTATGATAGACAGGAAGCTGGGTATCATGTACAGGCCAGCCACAGAGGGGTATGACAGACAGGAAGCTGGGTATCATGTACAAGCCAGCCACAGAGGGGTATGACAGACAGGAAGCTGGATATCATGTACAAGCCAGCCACAGAGGGGTATGACAGACAGGAAACTGGGTATCATGTACAAGCCAGCCACAGAGGGGTCTGACAGACACCTTCCACCCTGTGGGCCAAAGGGGATTAAAACCCCTAACCCCTATTCCCCCCCCCCCCCCGACCCACCCGGGGCCAAGCCCCTACCCCATTACCACCATGACAGGAGTTCCATGGATGCTGGGGGAGTGTGGAGAGAAAGGCCATCCCTGGGGCATTACCCTGACGGGCAGAGGACAAAGAGAGAGCCCTCCTCTGGTCTGGCCACCTCCCTGAATCTAAGACAAGGCAGGGCACGGAGACTCTCCATCCCTGGTTGTTTGTATGAAGAGGTACTTTCCGTTCCACTGAAGCACAAGCTTTAGTGGTGTTGCTGCACAAATCAACGCTTTTAATGGAGTAGAGGAAGGGGATTAATTCCCAGTGTGCCAAGTTTAGGCGTGTCACAGTAGAAAATAAATCAATTTTGATGAAGATGGGAGCACATAGTTTTACATTCTTAAATAGGCTATCTTAATAAATATTGTATTGTGAGGCTTCATACTCTGGCCTCATGTGGTAGGGCATGATTATAACCTTATAATCAAACATTGATTATATAGAGTACAGCTAGAAGTGCACATTTGTGTGAAACAGAACTTGCATTAGCTAGATGTTTCAGCTGAAGTTCCGTTTGGCATTCGCTTGCATGACAGGACAGAACAGAAAGAAGCTCCCAGGTTTAATTAGACTGACATTAGTTGTCAGTCTGATATGTCACCACCACAAGATTGGAGCACAACAGACTCAGATCAGACGGTCAGATCAGGGCTGCAGCATTGCAGTTCCACATCGGTCCACATGGGGACCAAGGCTGCCATCAGAGTCATGGCTAAATGCAGCTGAATTTTTTTGCATTTAACCTAATTATCCTAACCTGCTACCTTTAATCTCCTAACCTGCTACGAAAAAGTCAATTTTGACCGTAGCTGTATACCATTTAGTCAAAACCGTATATCAGCCCATGATGTCACACCACTAGTCCTCACTGTGATGCCTGGATGGAAATGTCCCCTTGATTTATTACGCAACAAGAGACAATCTGCCATCACAGCACAAACTGACAGAGAGAGAGAGAGAGGACTCAGTTAGTGACCTCGGTTTTGCTTGGTCTGTCTCTTTACTTGCTCTGTGCTTAGTTTGGGTGTGTGTCTAGGATTGACTGGGACAGCTATGGCTATATATTAATCATCCTTGCTCAACCTAATGGATTTTCTCATCTCTGAGCCAAAGGGATTACAGTATAGCAGGGCAGGATACAGTGTCTCAGCCCCAAATGGCACCCTATTCCCTTTGTGGTGCACTATAAAAGGGAATAGGGTGCCATTTGGGACACACACAGTGAATCATCACTTTGTGTTGCCCACAAGCTCAACTGAAATAATTTTCAAATTGAGACATTCAGAAGTTTTATGACAGAACCCGCAAGCCTTAATTAAACCACATTATGATGGTTTAAAGGACAAGTAATGTTATACTGTAATTTCCCACCAATTATATTATAATAAGAATAAAGATGACTTCAGACATAGGATGGATTCATAACTCACATCACCTAGTGAATGGCTCTCTATCTTAACCATCTCAGCTTCCTCCCTCAGCTTGAGACAAAAGAGAGACTGTTGTTTCTTGAAGTATACCAGAAAGTGTCCTTTCTGGCATACCTTCAACATCCATTATAAGAATATGAGCACATATTCCAAAAATAATAGTGAGAAATATTTGAAACATTTCAATGCTTAATAAGTTGTATTCATTGTTCAAATAACTCTACACTGACAAGTTCTGAAAGAGATGTAGTGGAACATATGACGTAAAAAAAACCTGTAAAATAACCTACTGGATTCCTTTTAAATGCTTCTTATAACCTGCAAGGTTGATGTATCATAATTCAAATGCATTTGTTTTCATTTGAGACTAACAATTATAACATATATGGCTGATACAAGAACGATAGAACTTGGCAAAATGTGCTTATGTGGGTTTTGATTGGATTGGTGTGAGTTGGCTACAAATCATAAGGATGAGAAATAAAGAGAGTTAGAATGTTTTGTTTATTTCATGAGATTAAAGACTAACTCCAGGCTCAATGTGTGTTGACAACAGGAAAGGGGTTAATTGAGTAAAGCATTTCACATGATCAACTGCTCTGTGTCTCTGTGTGTGTTGCCAGAGTGAAGCAGCCAAAGGATGAATGGGTTCTTATGTCTCCATCAGGTGATCCAGAGCCACAGTCCAATCTAATCAAAAGCAATCATATTTATACTGAAGCCTTCATCAAATTCCAGCATTTATAGCCTTTCATTTTCATTCAGATTGGTTTTATAAAGTGCATGTGGATACTGGGTGTTCAAAGTTCCCTTTACAACTTTGTTAACTTTCCATAAGCCTGTTCAGAGGCAAAATCACACACACACACGCACACGCACACACAGTTGTTCTTCACACACACATATGAAATACTTTATTTGAATCCACAAATCACATTACAGTCGAGAAGGATTCAAACATTTCATAGGTCATGGATATATGGACACTTATGGATACAGAAAGCACCTTCTCCATACCGCAAGGCTGCCCATGACCGCTGACACAGAGCAGTAAGCTACCTCACTAGCTGCTTTGCCTTTGTCCTATGCAGGCCTGCAATCTGAAGGCCACATACTGTCAGCCTACAGTATGTACATGGTCGAGACTCCCAAATACCAGCACAAGTTTACACTCATAACCAAGGCTGTTCAGGTGTGACACACACACAAATATTTTAACAGTACAACATTACCATCATGCAACTTATGTAAAGGGTTGACACATGGAAGATTGTCTACATGGTGTGATGTACAGTTTAAGCTTTATTCATTTAACTGGATAACAAAAAGATAATTTGAGGAAAGCTAAGTAGATTGGCAATTAGTATTCAATCGCTAAAAAGAGGGAACGAAATGTGATTTAATATTTCGCTTAAACCTGTAATTCATTGGATTGCATATTGTGCTGTACTGATACATGTAGGGTGTCAGACTGCAGCTTCACCTGATCAACTCTGACTCTCTCTTACATCATTCATTATCCGGATGCAATTACAGTGTAGTTGGTATAAACCCAACCAACCCTCTTAGGAAGACACGTTTCTCAAGGAGCCCTTTGATATGAAGAAGAACAATTTGTCACATTTCTGTTGCCATGACACAACATGAATTCATCTGTATGCTCCTCTGAATATAAAGTTGAGTGTCAGCTGCTGGGCATCTTTTGTGTTATATTGTATTTAGATCACTATTATTGAAACTAACAGGTACATTGATTCCTGCAGACATCTGTAGCATGCAAGAATAGAAATTACCTTATCATCAACCAGGTTCTGTAGAACTTCCTTGTCTCTGGTAGATTTTCTCTCTATGCCAGAGTCTTTCATATCGTGCCAAATGACACTTTCTTTACACGGAGACCTCTCACTTGTAGGGCTCCTCGCCTCCTGCGCGGTGTCCGGTTTAGCAGTCCTAGGGGTTCGGTTCCCACGCTGACCGACGCTCAGAGCATCAAAATCAATGGTTTTGCTCTCGTATGCTCCCTCAACGTTGCAAAACATACCTCCGTATTTTTGCCGGGGTACCTGGTCGGCCGTTCCGGGACGGGCGAGATACACCGGTAAGTCATCATTCTCCTCCCTGTTCCAATTCTGCTTATGCTCGGCCATAGTGCGCTGTAGTGAGAGGAAAGAGAGCGAAAGTAGTCCTGAAACTGTTCTAGTGTGTAGCTGCACAGGGCAGGAGGAGGCAGGGGGAGTAGGCTATAGTATCCAATGCACTGGGCAGGAGGAGGTAGGGGGAGTAGGTTAGAGTCTCCAAACCAGAGGTGGCAGTGCTGCCCTGGGTCTCATCAAAACAAAGTGATACCTGCAGCAGGAGCTTTTTTTTTACCCCCTTCAGCAGTTCAGTCACACATTTTAGATGTTAGTTTACCACAGATGCACCAAACATCTTCAATGCATCATCTAGTAAAATAACTGCACCTGATATGGTTATAGTCCAGGCAACTGTCATCTCCTCTAAATAGGCCTATATTGAATATCTTAAGACAAAATATGTTACTTTTTATATAAAAACCAAAACTGATTACTGGGTATTATTTTGTAAGGGAGTAGCCTACGATAAACTATTTATTCATGTACACTTTTTCAGGCCAGGGTTGTTGCCACAGGTGCACGTGTTTTGGCCACACCCATCTTTGGCGCTGTCCTTTCAGCACCATGCATGCTCCCAGGCAAATAGCACCTGTGGTTGTCGTCGCTCATATCTAGGTTAACTATGCATGGCGGTTCAACGTTCAAACACACAATTTCCCTCCACCCCGAAGAAAGGCGCTATATCTTTAAGCTTCGTCTGAGCCTGCAGATGACAGCGTCACTGTTCTCAGACACTGGCCTGATTACTTAGCAGAAATTAGACAGACAGGGGCCTGCAGGAAGACAGATTCTAGCACGTCTCAAAGTGACAAAGTGCTGAGTGCTGAGATAAGCACAGGCACCAACTGAAGGATCCGCTTCAACTGGCTAAGTAGAAACACATAACCACTCAACTGTTTTAACAAATAAACGGTCATATTCTCTGACGGTAATATTCCCTGACTCTCTCCACAGCCAGAAGCCACACAGCAGTTTCTCACAAGGTATGTTTGGGTGCCTTCAATTGGAATTGACCTACTTAGAAATAAATGTACTTAGCCAACACAAAAATACGTTCTGCTGGATACAGTGACGCCATGCCTAGCTGTATACTTGCATCCTCAAGTGCAACCTGGTCTCAGAGCATTCCATAGTATTCTGTATGTAAATCCAAGACACTCCATTTAGTATGATATGTTAAGTTTAGTATGTTATGTATTCATTTGTGGAAGTCCATCAACCATTTCGTACGATATGTTACAAATTAGCTACATTTGTGTTACAAATTCTAGCTAGGTAGCTAATGTTAGCTAAAATTTTAGCAGAAGCTCTTATCCAGAGCAACTTACAGGAACAATTAGGGTTAAATGCCTAGCTCATCAACAGACTTTGCACCTAGTTGGCGTGGGGATTCGAACCAGCAACCTTTCGGTTACTGGCCCAACACTCTTAACAGCTAGGCTACCTGCCACCCTAACAGTAGCTTTTTCCTTGACACCCAAAAAGTACTCGTTACATTTTGAATGCTTAGCAGGACAGGAAAATAGTCAAATTCACGCACTTATCAACCAAACATCCCTGGTCATCCCAACTGCCTCTGATCTGGCGGACTCACTAAACACACATGCTTCGTTTGTGTGTTGGTGTGTGCCCCTGGCTTTCCGTAAATAAAAATAAAATAAAAAATTGTGCCATCTGGTTTGCTTAATATAAGGAATTTGAAATGATTTATATTTTTACTTTTACTTTTGATACTTAAGTACATTTTAGCAATTACATTTACTTTTGATACTTAAGTATATTTTAAACCAAATACTTTTAGACTTTTACTCAAGTAGAATTTTACTGGGTGACTTTGACTTGAGTTATTTTCTATTAAGGTATCTTTACTTTTACTGAAGTATGACAGTTGGGTACTTTTTCCACCACTGCTGTTAATTAAAATGCATTCCAGGTGACTACCTCAATAAGCTGGTTGAGAGAATGCCAAGAGTGTGCAAAGCTGTCATCAAGGCAAATATATTTGTATTTGTTTAACACTTTTATGGTTACTACATGATTCCATATGTGATATTTCAGAGTTTATGTCTTCACTATTATTCTACAACTGAGAAAATAGTAAAAATTCAAACCCTGGAATGAGTAGGTGTGTCCAAACTTTTGACTAGTACTGTACATCAGTGTTGCTAAACCTACACTTGGCAACCAACTATAGGGTATAGTTGATTAACTTTGGTTTGGTTACAACTCAATGCAGATGATACCTAAATGTAATAGTCAGTAGAGGTTTTTCTCAGTCCCAATAGAAATGACACGTGGCTGTGCGGAGGGAGTCGCATCACAGTGCCAAAACAAGGGTGTATGAGTGGAGAGAGAACTCTGGGTCACCCTGGTCCTAGCACAGTGAGATCAAACAGGCTGTGAAATTGCACCCTATTCCCTATATAGTGCACTACTTTTGACCAGAGCCCTATGGGGCACTATATAGGGAATAGGGTGCCATTTTGTGTTGCTTAGACATACTGTGCACAGTCACCACTCTCATGACATGAGAATGCTAAACAGAGAGCACATGACAACAGAGATGAGATGCTTCAATGCCTTGGATAATTTCCATCCTTTAAACTAAATCCGACGTGTTTTTTTCTTATTCAGCTTCTAAATGCACCACAGTATGTTCCTCAGCTCAGTTGCAAATTTGCCCACAATTCTCGGCAGTCTATTGTCAAACATTCTTAAAAATACAACAATCCCTTGTCACAGATTACATTTAGCACACCGACATGTAAGAGTAACACCGTTTTTCTGTCACAAGCATGTGATTAAGGAATGAAGCTTCTAGAGATTGCAAAAATACACTTATCCTCCTGTTCTGACCGCTAACTATTTTCTCTCTTACAGCCTCAGCCTGGGAGCCTGATGTCTGGGGCAGACTGCTACACTAAGTATTAGGTCATTCTGTTTCTGGGAGTTATAGTATAGTTGGTGTGATGTCATGGCTGTAGTGCTAACAGATCTAAATAAATGGTGCTGGACATTACGGGTACGTCAGAATGAATGACAAGAATAGTTCTGTAGTGATTATGTGGAGTACAGATAGCCCTGAAGCATATAGGATGCTGAAGGCCCATTACAATGTGTAAGCCAAATAATAAATATTCCCCTCTGATGATTTATTCAGATGATTTATCCGATTTTCCCACATGAATCATGAGATCACTTTTTGTCATTTGGACTTCTAGTAGAAAAGATGTATGGATTAAGGATTTGAACGTTATACCTTTAAGCCAACACAGCCCTGCAACATGCAGAATTCCATTTGGCACTTATTCAAGGACACAGCGATGGCTACAGGATGCTATTGTATACTTAGTGAGGCTTAAAGCATGAACATAGGAGCATAGGGAGGGTTATCAGCCATCATACTATTAAAAATGGATGAGGGGCTTTGAAATGAATGCCCCTAAAAAGATAACAGGTCTCATGTCTCCAGGGCCGTAAGTGCATACTCAGTCAGACATGGTAGAACAATCCCTGATAATGCTTAGACACAATACACAGTCAATCCTCTTCATGCCAGTTACATTAACATTTTTGTCATTCAGCAGACGCTCTTCTCCAGAGCAACTTACAGTTGGTGAGATAACCACATATCACAGTAGTAGTAAGTACAATTTTCCTCAATAAAGAATTTATCAGCAAAGTTAATGCTAGTAGTAAAAGACAAGTGCCATTTAAAAATATATATATATTCGAAGAGGTAGGGTTTCAGAAGCTTTCGGAAGATGGGCTGGAACTCTGATGTCATAGCTTCAGGGGGAAGCTGGTTCCACCATTGGGGTGCCAGGACAGAGAAGAGCTTTGACTGGGCTGAGCGGGAGCTGACCTCCCGTAGTGGTGGGACGGCCAAGAGACTAGAGGTGGCAGAACAGAGTGCTCGGGTTAGGATGTAGGGTTTGAGCATAGCCTGAAGGTAGGGAGGGGCAGTTCCCCTTGCTGCTCCGTAGGCAATCACCTTGGTCTTGCAGTGGATGCGAGCTTCGACTGGAAGCCAGTGGAGTTTGCGGAGGAGCAGGATGACATGGGAGAACATGGGAAGGTTGAACACCAGGCGGGCTGCAGTGTTCTGGATAGGTTGCAGGGGTACGATGGCACAAGCGGGGAGCTCAGCCAACAGAGAGTTGCTGTGGTCCAGATGGGAAATTACAAGAGCCTGGATTAAGACCTGCGCCACTTCCTGTGTGAGGAAAGGTCATACTCTACGGATGTTGTAGAGCATGAACCTGCAGGAGCGAGTCACTGCTTTGATGTTTGCAGAGAACGACATGGTGTTGTCCAGGGTCCCGCCAAGTTTATTTGCACTCTGGGAGGGGGACACCATGCAGTTGTCCACTGTGATGGAGAGGTATTGGAGCGGGCAGGCCTTCCCTGGGAGGAAGAGCATGTCCATCTTGTCGAGGTTGAGCTTGAGGTGGTGGGCCGACATCCAAGCTGAGATGTCTGCCAGGCACGCAGAGATGAATGTCGCCACAACGGTGTCAGAAAAGGGGAATGAGAAAAGTAGTTGAGTGTCATCCGCATAGCAGTGATAGGACAGACCATGTCAGGATATGACAGAGCGGAGTGACTTAGTGTAGAGAGAAAAAAGGAGAGCGCCTAGAACCGTGCCCTGGGGGACACCAGTAGGGCAGACACAGATCACATAAGGCCTCAAGGTACTAAAGCATATTTGGGTGAATAGGTCTTATGGAGAAACCTCTACACTTAGAAAACAAACAAGTAACAAATACTCATTACTGGGGTCGTTCCACAAAATGAGTGCCTTTTGCGTGCCTTTAATATTTTGAGTAGAAATTGTAAACCAATATTGACATTTAAAAGCCTGTTATATTCAATGAAGTCTCCTTTAACATAGACCACATGAAGAATTCAATAAATCCAAATTTATATATGAATAAAGTGTCCCTCCGTGCATTAGGAACACCTGCTCTTTCCATGACAGACTGACCAGGTGAATCCAAGTGAAAGCTATG